AGCAGCATCTGGGCTTCCAAATACACGAAGTGTGAATCGAGTTGGTTCTTTGTTTTGACATGGTGATGTCAAATGAATGATGCTACTCGGATCCTGTATGCGCGTTTCGGAGACGCAGCATATATCGATGGCGCGAGATTCTAAAGTCCTAGCTAAGCAAGCTTGTTGTCCTATTTGGCACAGTGTTCGGACGTTATAAGCTCCAACATGAAGTTTAGAGCATGGTTTCAGGAGATCAGGAATAACGTCCCGCGTACTCGAATCGTTTTCCATAGTGGTGCGAAGCGATAAAGGGACGTGAGAAGGGTTAGTCGTGGAGATAAGAGATGTATTAGGAGGTGTAGGAAAGATTTGAATGTGACCAACTTGGTCTCGTGTGCTGTTACGGGTATGAGGGCTGATATCACTTCCCGGCTTCCCACACCGTGGGAGGGTATTTCTTGAGGAACCTGAAAAGGAAGTTGGGTTAATGTTGGCCTTAACGACCTGGGAGCGTGACCGCAGAGCCTAAGGGACAACTGCTTGAGGCCGTTCGCGCACGGCCTTTGTGTGAGAGGCTTTTAATGTGTTAGCTCTGTTCTTCAAAGGGCCTTACCGCCGGAGACGGAAATCCGTGAGGTGAGGTGAGGTGTGACATTTTTAGAGTCGACCTTTCTAACCCCTTTCTTCTTTGTGAGAAGATACTGGTTGTCCGAGGGAAACACCTTACTACTGTCACATCCCACTACAGTCAGCAGTACGACCTCGCCCTCAGACCTAGAGTTGCTGCTTTTAGTCTTACCGTTCTCAAATCGACCTGCCTGGCATGGTAGAACCTACAGGAACATATGTTCCAGACAATATAGATTGGTTGGGTCATGACGATAGGCAAGCCCGACCACCGCGTCAAGGTAGCAGCTACGGTCGGGTGCTTTGGTGACACTATTCCTTCGCTGCATCTCAAAAAATTTTTCTCTAAACTCTTTCTTGCATTTATTACACCATTAAGTTTTATTTCAACTATCTTCCATATTAATAATCTTATTTTATCAACTGAGCTCTACTCATTTTATTTCTATCAATGTTTGCTCATTATGTAATCACTTGTTTCTAGCCGTTTGAACAGTTGTCATAATTAATGTTGTAGAATGTTCTTTCACACATGGTATATACTTACAATATTCAGTCTATTAATTTTATTTAGACCCTTGCTATACTATACTAATATGTCTTCAACATAACTTCCAAACATGCAAGTAGTTTAAACCCATTATGTCATTATAATTTTAAATATCATGGGCTGTAAGCAGCTGACGAGAACCTACAAAATAAAATGAATCCATGTTATTCTGCTAGAATCTTTGTTCTTGCTCTTTTCAAGACAATAAAGAGAACTATGTGTATAAAATGAATTGTCTCAGAATTGTGGAACAGTTGTTATCTTAAAGATAATAGTTAATTAAATATTCATGGATCTAGTATGTATTCATTTTTCTATCTCTTAACGAAATTATTACGTAGTGTGTATTTGTATCAGAAAGAGCAAGTGTATACATTCGATAAACTTTATGTTGCTTAGAAACTCATTTCAGTGCAGTCAATCGAGATTATAATATTTACATTGGTAGTTTGGAGAGATTTTTTTAAAAATTCAAAGATAATTTTCCAGTGTATTGATATCAGCAAGGGAAATCAATAAAAGAACAAAGTTGTGTTCATCCTACCTTGAAAGTTTTCATCGTTCCTCTGAGATTTGAAAGTAATTAAACCTAAGACTTTCATTTGATTCAGTGAGTAAGGTACTTACACAATAATCAATAATCATACGGTTTGAAAGTTAATCAATGTTTGAATATTTAACTAATATCGATTTATGATAACAGTTTTTTATAGGCATATTCACAGTTAACTACTATGTATAACAAGTGTGAAAAGACCTATTCCACATATCAAAAAATTAATCAATAAACCTATATAAATATCCCTTATCAGATTTCCCTTTATTCTAAATCTTTTAGGTCACCATTAAATAATTAAAAGCTAAATGATCTATTTAAGATTGATCTGGAAAGTAATGATAATGAATATATACAATCATATATTTTTATTATTAACAATGAATATACAGGTCACGATAATGCCAAGAGGATAAATCATCATCATTATCATCATAAGTTTATAGATTATTCCATATCATGAATAAATGGATCATATATATGGAACATTTAAGAAATTTACTTTTGATATGTTCCCTAATTACATACCTAACAAAGATCCACCTGAGCTACAAATCTTCTCCACCATCTCAATATCATGTGATTTTGTTTCTCCTATAAGACGTTTGCATTCTTTTTATTGGGTTACCATTATAAGTGTTTATTACTTTTATTCAACAACAAAAAAAGGAAAGAAACAAACTAATAATTATATTATCTTCAATGATTTTCAATAGAATTTTCATACTTTCCTTTACATTATGGAATATGAGCTAAAATTCATTACATTATTACTGACTTATTTATGATTTGCTTTTCTCTAAATTGTCGCTCATTATTTATTGTACACCTTGCGTTTCATTTTTCTAATCGCTGCTATGATTACTTTTCTAATGCAGTCATCTTTTTAATAAATTATTAATGACCATATTTAAACTAGATTCATGGAATTTGATTACTAAACGGGATATTAGTGAATACACAGTGGTCAATCATTGTTATAACTTGTGACCGCCGATTAGAGAGCACTGACTTATCGATCGGATCAATGACGCATAAAACACATGAGAACAGTCTAGATTCCTGATTGGCCTTGCTTTCCGCCTAGCCCAGCCAGTTAAGTCCAGAACACCAATCTCAGCCTCTGCGATATGAACCAGTATATTTCAAACATATTAGGTTTATATACTAATCAAACAGACCACAACGTACCAATAAAATATGAAACAACATTTGTACAAGAATTAGCCAGATGTGGCTGCGAATGAGGGAAGTAGTAATTAATATACTGGGTATACCTCAAGAATGGTAAAACGCATAATAATAGTTTATGGGTCAAAATAAAGCTTATAATGAGAGGAATATGAATATGCATAGTTTAGTTACTTAATAATTATACAATAGGAATATATGTTTAGTATTGGTCCATCAATAGATCCCAAAAGTTACTATACATTATTCTTGTCGGGACACAACAATCATGTAAACATTTCTGTCTTAAAGAAAATCAGTAACTTCTCAAATAGCTCAATGGCAATTTGTTTGACTGTGATATGAATAAGCACATGTCTAATTTCTTATGGAAGTACCACATTCCTCAAGGTTACAGATACGCCTTGCTCACGTATGTCAACTAAGATAAAACTAAAGTTGAGAATTTCTTACTGACTATTCTCAATCACCTCATATCAAGTATGCAGAGTTAAAACATTTCGACTAGTCCAAAAACATCGCAAATTCATTGACAAAAATCTATCAGAATATAGTGTGAAGAAAAACAAAACAAAGATGATATAAGTTAAGAATAAATGATCAATAAATTTAATACAAAGTCTTGTATAGTTCTAAATTTATACTTGTAATTTTAGATAAATTTTTAAGGAAGTTTCATGTTTGAATTGGCTTGTTGTCTCTATCATCATTCAATGATTGTTTTAAATATTTTAGGATTAGGATAAATCAAACACAATAAGACGACTAGTTAAAATGCATTACATAACTACACAATACAACACTTGTAGATGCACGTTGTCTAACAGGTAAATATATATTTTCAATAAAGTCATAACTATCTTTAGAATGATAATGTAAAAAAAAATGTAAGTTTTATAAAGTTGGAAAAAACATTAAACTAATCATACAATATCAGAAGGGGTTTGTGGAGATTTTAGAAATTTTCACAGATCGAAATCATGAGTCAGTTGGAGCTAGACCACCATGGAAAACCTGGAAGCACTGGACGGTTTTCCATGGTGGTCTAGCTTCAACTGTCTCATGATTTCAATCTGTAATCATACAATTGTTATTTATAGGTGTTTAATGATCGAAATGCTGTGTCGTTGAGGGATTTGTTTTTAAGGTTTTGTAACAAACTATAGGATATTAACTCTGTAGGTTATACATGATATTATTCATCTTATATTAATAATATAACTCTTGAGAGATTGTAAACCACTTGAGTAGTATTCTATAAACATTTTAACTGATATATCATGATGTGAATAATGAATGCTAACTGTTGGAATCCATTTATGGACTCATACTATACATATAGTTTTATTGCATAAATGTTAAGTAATTAAACCATGCATATTCATGTTTCTCATATGATGAGCTTTATTTTGACTGGTAAACTATTATTATACGATTTACCATTCTTGAATTATTCCCTGCCTATCAATTACTATCTTCCTTATTCACAGTCACATTTATTTAAATCTTTTACAAATGTTGTTTTCTATTTTTTGGTGCGATGTGATCTGTTTGGTTTGTATATAAGCCCAGCATGTTTGAAATATAAAGATTCATATCGCAGAGGCTGAGATTGGTGTTCTAAACTCAACAGTCGGGGCTAGACAGGAAGAACGACCGACATAGACTCTAGACTGCTCGTACGGGTTTACGTGTTATTGGTTCGATCGATAATTCACTGTTCTCTAAGTGGTGGTATCATTACGTCACATATTGATAGGGGCAGAAGGCCACAAGTGATAACATCAACTAATACCAGTTTACAATATCTGAATTTAGCAATTATTCTAATGAATTACCTATATCAATTTTCTAATTTCATTGGTGTTTCTAGTTAACAAAATGACTCACTGAGTAAACTTAGTGCAAGTGTTTCATAATTGAAGTAAATGTCGATGAAAAAGCAAACTGTGATTCTATATCAAAAGATGTATTGAACATATTATCATAATAAATTGTGAGTTATTTTAAGGAAAAGAGATAAAGCACAATACAAAATTGTTATTAATTACCACATTCTTTGTTAATTGCATAATTCCTAATCTTTTATTATAGATACACAATCAAGAAATTCCTCCTCACTGTCAATAACAACATTGTTAGGAGTACAAGATCCAACGGCATTATCATCATCATTATCATCCACATCATCGTCATCAAGTGGACCAAGTAAATTTAAAAAACGTTTATTTCTTCGTGGACAGACAGTTAGTGCTATTAATTCTCAAACTACGAATGAACAACAACAACAACAACCGGAAACACCATCAATCGATCAAAAACAAAACAGATTTTTACATACAACACAAAGACAAGTAACTGAAGAAAATCTATGCTCACCCTCAAAAAATGAACTGACAGAAATTCAACCACATTTTGTAGAGCCAAGTAAGTTAATTCTGAAAAAATTCATTTTTTCATAGTTTACATCATTGGCTGATTTCAGTCAGATCACCATGAAAAACTACAAAATACTGGATAGTTAGTTTGTTCTAGTATAAAACACTCTAAATGGCCATCTGTGATCCCACTAGGACTATTGAGCTGTCATAAAATGATTTACATGACTAAGTTTAATTAATACACAGAATCGTCAACCAATTTTTGAATAATATTAATAAGTAACAGTCTTATATCCGACATGATTGAACATCAGTGCCCACCAAATTAACCCTCCACCGTGGTTTATCAGAACATTAAAATATATATGGCCAAGATATAAAAAAAGAAATGCATGAAAACGAGTAAATAATCGCGAAGTGATTGGTAGTTGATCTAATATTACTTCAGACATTTTGATGTTCCTTAAATCAACCTTTAGAAAGAGAAGGATTCATCATATATACATATAGAACAAGTGAGAAAACAGTAAAATTTGATCTGAAGTAAGATTTGTTCGTTAGTTGAACACTTAATTTTACGTAGTCTACATCTACCATATACTCATTAATTGAAATTTTCACTTTCAGCATCAAAATTATTATCTTCATCAAATTCTTCCACTGATAATAAATTAATTCATTCTACTGATGTACAAAATATTCAGTCAACAATTGAAGAACGTAAAGCACATTTTCGTGCACAACATCAAATTAAACAACTATGTGAACCGGATATGAAATTTAATGATTTAGTTAAATCAGCTGATACCGATCCACAGAGCAATGAAAATGTTGATCAAACAACTCATTTACAAATGGATTTACATAACTTATCAACTGATTTAAGGAGTTCAATTGAAAGACCTTTGGTAAAGGTTAATCCATTGTTATGGTAAGAATTTGATTGTTATACTGCTTAATCACTAATAAAAAGGCTTAATTTATTAAAGAGATTTTTTAGAGGTTATTCAATCTGGTGTTCGTATCATCAATCAATCTAACAGGATAATTATTGTAAGCGAAATAGAATCGGATATCTCTTTCAAACTAATATGCGACTCTTTATTAACACGTACCTACTATCTCAGTGTAGACAGAACCCATAAACTCCAGGCTTTGTGGCAATCATAGTACAATGGACTGGCTTCTTGTAGCCGACGCTTTCAATTTCATTCTGCTTGTGTAATTGTATGGACACCATCTATGGTCAATAGGAATGACTTTTTCACTCTTGAGATGTTTGAAACCTGTTGTTCACAGTTTCTCACTAGAACATTCAGAAAAATTCTTTAAATTAGTAACAACATAATTGTTATAAGTATAAACAGATTATTAGGAATATTGAGGTTATAGTTTACATCAGAGCCTGACTTAAACTGGGCAAGCTCTAAACATTATGAAGAAATAAATTGCTGTTTATTGTACCATCTAGGTATACAATTAAATAACGTCAATCGTGAGGTACTATCAATATCGACTGTTCAGTTTCATCGGTCAGATTAAATTAAACCCAATAGTAGCTAACCGTTTCACTGATTTAACGCTGTCCAATAAATAAACACCAGACCTAGACAAATAGCTTTCTTATGATAACTTACAGAGCACAGATGGTCAGCGACGGCTTAAACAGTTCAGTGGTTACATTTCAATAAACCAAATGAGTGATGTTGGTTTAAATCTCACAGTGTGCGTTAGTTTCATCAATATTTATAGGTATACCTATTTAATGAATTCCACATGACAAAAATCTAGCTTTCACGTTTTCTAACGATTATTCCTAACTGCACAGTATTGAGTCATTTAGAATATCGGTCACATCTTAAATTGATCGACTGAATTTAATTATCACTAAGATCTAGACAAACATAACATTAGTTGCTAGTCAGTAGTTAATCAAAATAATTGACAATAAGCAAAATAATTGTAGGGAAATGGATTTATTTTGTGATATGCTGAATGCTTGAACCTAATTGCATCCACTTCAGTATATACTGCCGAATAGTATGACCAGATATCACCAATAAAATGTACGTATTTGATAAAAACATAACTAAAATAACCCATTGTATTGTAGTGAACAGAACACAGGTGGGGACAATCGAATGTATTCAACACACAATTACAGGACTTGTTCGTAAAATCTAACATTAAAATAGTAAATGCTTAATTTGCAAAATGTCCACCAACTGTCTCAAAAGGACTTAGACTTGGTTGTTCTTGCATTTTCATACAAACTGAATCCTATTTCCATTCTTTACTGTTCGATCGTCTTGTCTTTCTGCTGCCAGACCTTCTGTTCACGACTAACATCATATACTACTTATGTCAATATAAGTAGCACACACCACAGTATTAATGAATTAAAATAAAGAGAATTCAGTGGAGATTTTCTTTTCTACGAAATCATTTGCTCAAGCTGTACATTGGTATTTATAGTTGTGTGATAAATATATGTCTATAAAACGATAGGAAAGAATGTATTATAAAGTGATCGATAGGAGATCGAATTAAAAACGTACGCACTGATGAGGCGTTGGTCATCCACCAACTCAAGCCCAGACTCTGAATGCAAAAACGATACTTCGGGCCTGTCAACCTTCCTTGACCCTGATTCCCTTTTGTGGTATGGTTTGGGATATTATTATTATTATCATTTGATTATTTAAATTGGTTTGTTGTAATTCTAAACAGTAATCAGTTTCTATTATTACGACCTTTATGTTTTGTTGTTTTTTCTTCATATCTGTCAATTGGGCAATTATCTTTAATAATTCTGACCTGTAAATTAATTTCAACCTTATATTCTTCTCTAATAACTCTGCCTGTAGCTCTTCTAGACTTACTACTGGTCACGAGCCCACACAAAGAAGGAGAGTCGGGTATGGGGTCGGCAACCCCATCTCGTAGAAAAATATCTTGCTAAAAAAACGCCAACCAGATTAAACAAATTAAAGTAAGTAAACTCTGTCCTCCGAGTTAAAAAGAATTATCACGCCTCACAAGGAAAGCCGAAATTCTCCGGAAGTTACGAGGCCGATGCTCCTTCTAACAACCAGAGCAAAAATTAATGTAGGTGTATGAAACGTCCCGACAATGTTCAAGACTGAGAGAACCAGTCAAATAGCAACGGAAATGAGGAGATACAACGTGGCGGTTCTCGGAATCAGTGAAACCCGTTGGACCCAAGCTGGACAGCAAAGGCTAGATACGAGAGAGATACTGCTGTACTCCGGTCACGGTGAGGAAAATGCTCCACACTCAGGGAGTTGCTCTGATGCTATCCAAAAAAGCATGTAATGCACTCATAGGATGGGAATCTCATGGATCTTGGATCATCAAAGCATCCTTCACAATAAGGGAGGGAATCATGATGAATGTTGTCGAGTGTTGTGCATCAACCAATGATAGCAACAACGACAATAAGGATCAGTTTTATGAGAGGCTGCAACCAATCATAGCGAAGTGCCCAAGAAACGAATTCATCATCTTGATGGGAGACCTAAATGCTAAAGCCGGAATAGACAATACCGAATAGGTAGATATCATGGGATGACGTGAACTGGGAAAGAGAAATGAAAATGGTGAGAGATTTACAAACATATGCGCACTCAACAAACTGGTTATAGGCAGCACAATGTTCCCACACAAAGGCATACACAAAGCTATATGTGTCTCACCGGATCACACTACACAGAACCAGATCGATCATCTTTACATCAATAAAAAATTCAGAAGGACAATGGAAGACTTGAGAACCAGGAGAGGAGTTAAAGTTGCTTCAGATCCCCACCTGGTTGTGACCAAGATGAAACTGAAGCTAAAGAAATACTGGACGTCTGGGAAAACAGCAGCACAAAGGTTTCATACAGCCTTCCTACGAGAAACTGACAAACTCAACAAATTCAAGATAATTCTCAACAACACATTCCAGGCCTCAAAGAGTCTACTAAAAGAAGAAGAAACTACAATGGATGTCAACTAGAAAGGGATCAAATAAGAATCAACTCCAACATATCTGGAGGAGCTCGGCCGCAAGAAGCATCATAATAAGGAATGGATCTCTATAGGAACTCTGGACGAGATTTAAAAATGGATATACAAGAAGACAGCAATTAACAACAGCCAAACATGAACAGAGAAAGTCAAGGCACTAGCTGAATACATAGCAGCAAACAAGCAAGTGAAGAGGAGCATTAAAGCCGACAAGCAGAAAGACGTGGAAGAGCTAGCAACGGCAGCGGAAAAAGTTGCAAGACAAGAAAATATCAAACAACTGTATTGACAGGACGAAGAAACTAGTGGGGAAATATGGTAAAGCAGAGAGATCGGTCAAGTACAAAAAAGGCAAGACAACAACTGAAATTCAAGGACAGATGAACAGATTGGTAGAACACTTCGAGAAACTCTTGAATAGACCAGCTTCATTGAATACGCCGAATATCGAAGCATTACCACAGACCTTCCTATCAATGTCACTCCACAGACGACGGAAGAAATCAGGATGGCTACCAAACAAATCGAGAGTGGGAGAGCAGCAGGACTTGACAATATACCAGCTGAATCTCTGGAGTCAGACGTAGAAGTAACTGCTTGAATGCTTTACGTTCTATTCAGGAAGATTTGGAGGAATAACAAGTGTCGATGGACTAGAAAGTAGGACACCTCATCAAGAAAGGAAACATCAGTAAGTGTGAGAACTACAGTGACATCACACTACTGTCAGTACCAGAAAAGGTTTTCAATAGCGTTGCTGAACTGGATGAAAGACTCAGTGGACGCCCAACTTTGAGATCAACAGGCTGGATTCCGTAGGGATCGGTGGTGCACAGACCAAATCGTGACACTACGGATCATCGTTGAGCAATCAGTTGAGTGGAACTTGTCACTATATATCAACTTCATTGACTATGAGAAGGCGTTTGACAGTGTGGATAGGGGAATATTGTGGAAATTTCTTCAACTCTATGGTGTACCTTAGAAGGTTATCAATATCATTCATACGACGGACTACACTGAAAAGTGGTGCATGGAAGAAATCTGACAGATACATTCCAAGTGAGTAGCGGAGTCGGGCAAGGCTGTCCACTCTCCCCCTTTCTGCACAACAATTGGAGTGCAGATTTATACGTATGTGTTTATTGTAAAGAAACTAGTTATACAAGGTAGGAGAAGTTAGGTTATCATGATCACTAGTCATATCAAAATAGGATTGTATGAATATAATATAACAAACAACATTTCAACGTAAGAATCTTCAATATGAACATCAAGACAGTTCCACTATGTGGGACTGAAACAACCATCGTTGAAATGTAAAGGTATTTATAAACAATCGTCTACGTAAGATACTCAATGCTATTTGACTGGAAACCATCAGCAACAGCTTACTATGGGAGAGGACAAACCGAATTCCAGCTGAAGAGGGAATTGAGAAAAGATGTTGAAAGTGGATAGGACATAGATTGAGGAAATGATCAGACTGCATCACGAGGCAAGCGCTTACTAACTAGAATTGTGAAGGGAAAGGGAAAAGAGGAAGTCTGGAGAATAGACTACAACGAGAATTCGAAGCAGACATGTAAAGGATGAATAGGAACTGAAGAGAACTGGAATGGATTGTTCGGGACAGGGCTGGATAAGGAATGTTGGTGGGTGGCCCATGCTACTCCACGATGGATAACTGGAGTAAGTAAGTAAATAGGTATTCTTCTCTAATTCCTTTTAATTATTACTCAATCTCATTTGACAATCGGAAGCTCAAATCAATTTATGATGTAATGTTTTCCATCCATCTATTGACATATATTTACCACACCATTATAAATATAAATGTACAGCTTGAGTAAATGATTTCGTCGAAAAGAAAACTTTCTTCACTGAATTCTCTTTATTTTTATTCAATGATAACTAATAGTTGCATTGAAGTCAGTGGCACCTTAATTTCACATTCTGGACAGGTCGTTTTACTGTGATACGTGTCTACATTTCAAATTCCAGAGATAATAAGTATTCGAATATCTGTTTTTTCAGAAACACTAACTACTGATAAATTTTTTACTCTACGTAAAACTTCTAGTAGAATAATACTTTTGTTAAGTAAACAATGATGAAGTGTCAGGATGAGCATTCTGTTAAACAATGCACTATATATATTGTTTAAATTTAACTAATTTTCTATACATTTCAATGACATAGATTATAAAATGCTGAAATGGTTTGTAAATCCAATATAAGATGAGTTTCAAGTCATGATGAAAGTTTACTCTGAACATTGTACTACCATATAAAGATTGTATTATAGAATTCTTTGCTCACAAATATGTTGTTAATGAAATGGACATTTAAATTCACTAGATATTCTTTTACTTGAATCTTCCCACTGATGCGATTGATCCAGTCCCTTATTGGTGTATGTGCACGCTGTGTGTATTGCCTCGATATAGCCTTAAACAATACGTTATGAATTTAAACTTTACCCCATTGCATAAGAAAGTGGCTAGCAGGACTCAGTGGCTAAATGGATAACGCGATAGCGTTTTGAGTGAACAGTACTGGGTTCGATTCTCCGAGTGATTATCAACTCTGAGCTGCAGATACATCCAGCTGACGTGTCGTAAATAGGACGAAATGCCTGTTTTGGATTCCACTGAAAGAGATATTAATTTTTTTTAAAGAAAATAAAACAAGAAAAACTTCAATTTAATTAAAACTTGACAATAAGGATAGTATGTTATAGTATAAATAAGCATATGATTTTATTTTGTTTCATTCTTTACAAATACAAGCATTAATCATTCTATAGTAAACAAAAAACAATTTTTTCTTTGAAAAAAACGTCAACTAAACAAATTTTCAATAGTTGGAATCATGAATCAATTGAAGCTAGACCACCATGGAAAACTTGGAAGCACTGGACGGTAGGTCCTGGTTTCGAATCTCATGGGGGGGGGGCGGAATCATGGATGCGCACTGCCGTCCAGTGCTTCCAGTTTTTCCATGGAGGTTTAGCTTCAATTGACTTATGGTCTCAACTATTGAAATAACTAAAATCTCCACAAAACCCCTTCTGATAAACAAAGTTTATCAATTTCCTATCATAATGATTGATTTTGGTCCAATAATTGTTTACATTTGAAATACTTAATTTTTCTAAAATATTATTTTTTCAGTATCATAAACATTGATGTATTTTAATGGAGATTATAACTTTACAATCATTAATTATGCTTATTATTATTTTGTTATTTTTAAATTAAATTCTAGTGGACAACGAAATATTCCATTGATGCGTGTAGTTCAATCAGTTCGTCATACTAAACGTTCTGGAAGTAGTTTAATCATTAGAGAAACTTGGATGGTTCATAGAACTAACAAGGATCCAGTTGTAAGTAAAAGAATGTCATTATTACGTTTATATATATAGTACTTTAGAATATTTAATTCGTAGAATAAGCAATATTACAGGCTGCTGCTTCTAAAACTATAGAAATATGCCTACTATACATATCTATTTTATTATTAGTTTATTTTGTATTTTTTTATTATCAGTGAGATGTCACTTGTGATTGAACATCTTAGCTTGGAATCTCTAAATAACTTGTTTAACAATTATAAATGACTAACTTATAAAATAATTGGTTCAATATCAGATTATATATTGTAACTTCTGCAATACAATGTTCAGCTCTACATAAAAATGATTAATCAATAGTTTTTGAAGTGAACAGCATTGGGTTTATGTCGCAGAGTAAACATCAACTCTGTGATACAGGTACATCCAGATGATAAGTTCAAAATGGAATGAAAAGCGCATCCTGAATTCCACTGCTAGCCACAATCCGTTTTCGCTTTAAAAAGAAATGCCTAAACACGTTGTCTGATAATTTTCAATATTCGGAGATAGTTTAATAACTAAGTTCACATAGATTAAAATATCTAATATAACTATTTCAAGGTCTATTCATCAACATTGCTGGTGTAACAACAAGCTGGTTTTAAATACCTCTTTTTTAATTATATACTCTAAACTGTTACATCATTCATGACTTGGATTTGTAGATAGAAAAGTTATAAGCGAAGATGGATAGTGGCTAGCTGTGGAATCCAGGACGCGTGTTTCGTCCTATTTGGGACTCGTCAGCTGGAAGTAACGCGCTTCCTGGATCCCACTGCTAGCTACTATCCATCATTGATCATAATGCTTATGAATCAAGGCAATATCGAGACAATACGCACAGTATGCACATATGTCAATAAAAGACTGATCAATTGCAGTCTTCATCATCAATAGGAAGATTCAAGTAAACCTAGTGAATCTCTATTCTAGTTGTTTAAACTCAATTGACTGTTATTTTATTCACTTAGTCCTAATTTCTCAAGTTGTTTAAAATATATATTATCTATGTGATTGAACATTCCAGATAACTATCTTGAGTGAATTATCAAAATGTTTATGTCATGTTTTTAGTTTACTTTAAGATTCTTATGCGAATATACATAGCATGCTTTCATGATATATATATATATATATATATATATATATATATATATATATATCAAGGAATCGACTACGTTAAGAAACGAAGGCAGTGAAAACGTCAGATTATATGACTTAGTCATATAATGTATATGACTACCACACAAGGTTGTATGACTTCTACAATATAAATTAAGAACGGGAATAAAACGAACAAACTAATAACTCATTGTAATGTGAATAGAATAATTTAGTTAAAATAATTAATTTCTATTTTATGAATTAAAAATGATGGTTTCTAAGGAATAAGATGAAGTGCTCCCTCGAATAATCAATAGTACAAAATCAAACAGGATTGAAAAGATTGTTAAAGATGTATATTCAAATACGAAAGAACAATAAACGGTTATATTACTGATAGGCTTATTGTATAGTGAAAACAAGGAATAGACATTTTTTTCTCTCTGAACAAAATTCTGACTTTATTCCACGGTTACTGAAAGCTTTTGTTGTTTTACAGATTTATAAATAAAAAAAGTGTTCCAGATTTCAATGATGTATAATACATTTTGTATAAGAACATATCATTTCAGACAGCGCAATTTTTGAATAGTCTATACATTGTTTATCCACATTCCTGCTTTCCAAGAGGAGTTACGTACTCCCAGAAGCTCGACCCGCCATCATAATAATTCATAGTCAGAGACGCCATTACTTAGTTATTCAACCTATAACAGATCCCTTATAAAATTTAGTTAGAATTTTGGCCAAATCTTTGTGAAATCATTAATTCTCTCACTCCTCAAGATGATTCATGCTGAAAAGTTTCAACCAGTATAAAATTTAAACTGATAGCTTCCTATAGACTGTTTCTAACCACGTACTATCAAAATAACTTTTCGAAATACACAATTAATGAATAGAATTCCATCATACACAATATTCATTACAATCTAATGATTAATTAGTGTAACTTAATGAATAAGTAAATCAGACAAATACTCATTTAGAAATTCCCGGCGTTTTCTTTTCAAATTTAAACAAAAGTTTCTTACTTTAATGTATCCGTATAAAGATCCTGTCTACATAATACTTATTTTAATTTTGAATAGGTAAATACTACAGCTTACTTAATACTGAATTAAATAGTTACGTGACAAAATGAAACTATTCTATTATTTTATTGATAAGAGTAACTTATTCAAGTTAAACAGTCTTTTTTTCTTTTTCATTAACGAATGAATATGTATTTAATAGGCTTTATTAAAAACTGAAAGAAAAGACAAAAACGTTAAGAGAAGTTGATTGTTGTTTTTTTGGAACAAATTATAGTCTCCTTTTTAATGTGATTTAGTATACAATGTGATTTCTATAATATTACGTCATCTGAATTTGTTTTCTTGATTGAGAAACATAACTCAACTGAAATGAATTGTAAGCTTCTTTTTGAACGAACAATTAGGTAGGGATAATCAATTTATCATTTGATGCTTACTTACTTACTTACTTACGCCTGTTACTCCTAATGGAGCATAGGCTGCCGACCAGCATTCTTCAACCCACTCTGTCATGGGCCTTCTTTTCTAGTTCCATTCAATTCTTGTTCATTTTTCTCATGTCCATCTCCATTTCCCGGCGTAATGTGTTATTTGGTCTTCCTCTTTTCCTTTGGCCTTGAGGATTCCATGTGAGGGCTTGTCGTGTGACGCAGTTGAACGCTTTCATCAATGTGTGTCCTATCCATTATTTGATGCAAAATTACATAAAATGTGAAAATCATACATTAAATACTTTATTTGCAAATCTTTCATCATTTATCTCAAACTTCATTACGATTACTCTTTATTTACATTCTCGCACTTTTCAATTCAATCTTTGCAATCTTTTACTACTAGACTTTTCATTTCTGATTGGTGTTACATACTACATATGTCGATAGACATAAGTAGCATACACCATAAAGTTACTTATGTATATTAATCTGCGAATGTTCATTTTAGTATAGAATCATGAATAATCAGTTTGTTCATCCACTTGACCTTCTACCAAATTTTCTGTATCCTTTAATAATATATATCTTAGCATTTTTGAGTAGAGAAGAAAAAGCCATTCTTTTACCTCTTTTATTAATTACTTATTTTCTTTCAAGATTATACTCAGAATTTGATTTTAGTATATTAAGGTCAAATCTTAATTACCTTGTTCCGGTTTTATTTTTCGTTAAGAGTATACTTTAATCAATAGATCACTTTAAAATTGATTTATACAAGAATCACCATGACTATAATTGCATGAATGAATATATCACATGAACTAATATTAAAAATTTAGTCAATAAACATTTAATCTCAGCAATAATAACGCTATGAGCAATTACATTTACAACATTTACAACATAGGTGTTTACATTTTTCATCCAAACTGGTGAATACATATATATATACAATATGTTCATTCTCTTCTTATTCATTTACCACTGATAATTATATTCGACCAGTAGATAGTTTTTATTATGATATACTTTCAGGTTAGTATTCAGTGGGTAATCACAATTGATTGATCACTGGGTGGCGATCAATGTCATGCGTGTCTAGTCCTTATTAGTGCAGATCAAATGCTATCGATCATGTTGCAATATGGCCACCAGTCTAGGTGACTCGACACCCTGGTCCAGGGTTTCCTGTCGACTACCTCCAACCACCATCTAATCATAGTATTCAGCGGGTAACATAACAAGTGACAGTTGTCTCTAAACATTATTCATTTGAATAGAATAAGTTTACAAAGAACCTACTAAGCAATTACAGATTGATTTCAATAGAAATATGATAAATAAAAATTTCAATAGTTGAAATCATGAGTCAATTGAAGCTAGACCACCATGGAAAAACTCTTCTGATATTAATCAATATATACTCACTAGTGACTGTCTCCAAGGAGTATTTTCTTGGAATTCTAGTGAGAAACAGTGACCAGTGAAGTTCAACCAAGTCTGTTGTGAGATAGTATCTCACTGATGACGATGGTGAATGTGTCACTCAATTTCGTGGATCATTTGAAGTTAGACATTAACACTAGCTCAGTGGTCTAGAAGTTAAGCGTTTGCGCGTGAAACTCATAGGTCTCAGGTTCGAATCTCACGAGGCAAGATCGTGGATGCACACTGCTGAGGAGTCCCATACTAGAACGAGACGGCTGTCCAGTGTTTGCAGGTTTTCCATGGTGGTCTAGCTTCAATTGACTCATGATTTCAACTATTGAAATTACTAAAATCTCTACAAAACCCCTTCTGAAAATAAAAATTTATTGTATATAAACTAGACTTATTAATTTGTTAGATTATTTGTGTAATGTACTGCTTATACCTACAAATAGATACTGTTACTAATTGTATATTTTTATTGTTAGACAAACTATTTCATCCTAATTAAGACCAACAGAAGTATAATATGTTAGAAATAGAAGATTAAATATTAATAGCAATAATCATAAACTCTTTAGATAAACAAATGGTATCGTAATTCAGTAATGTAACAAGGAGTTACGTAATGAAGACGTTTGAACTTGGAAAATTTTCTTCTTAAATGACATCATTTTCTTATGTTTTACAATCGTATTTATAAGTGGTTTCTACATACAGTAGTCTACAATAAAATAGGAATGTGCTACAAAATTTTCAATGGTAGTCGAACGCATTCATGTACTGAATGTAAATGTTTGTAAAAATGATTTACTGTTGTACTGTTTTTTTTTTATAAATAGTCTATATATAGAAAGGTCAGAATGCGTTTTGTGGAGATCTTTAGAAATTCCACAGATTAAAATCATGAGTCAATTGAAGTTAGACCACCATGGAAAACCTGGAAGCACTGGACGGCCAACTCGTCCTTGTATGGGACTCCTCAGCAGTGCGCATCCACGATCCCGCACCCAGCGGGATTCCAACCCAGGACCTATCAGTCTCGCGCCAGGCGCTTAACCAACTAGAACATTGAGATGACACCCAACGGTGTTATACCTCATAAGTGAAACAATAATTGTAACCTTAATAAACAGACTGTTGATCATAAGTTAATGAATAAGTTTCTGAGTCGAAATTTCTGCTATTTGACAGATATTATCCATGACCTGAATGGTAGATTTTTATGACTAACATCAACTTCGCATACAAAATCCCTTCACATTGATTTTATTCGTTTATTATTATTATTAAAAATTATAGTTGCGTCGACATTTTTGGCGTCTTGGGACTAAATCAATAACAATGTTTTATCATGAGAAAACAAACCGTTATTTCAAGGTAAGTTGTATTCTTATTCATTATCTTATTATTTATATAAATAAATATTTATTTATACAATACCCTCTAAAAAGTTATGATGATAACTTCCTAACACACAAATTAATATATCACTTAGAATGTTTTGATATATCTGTTGAATCGTTACACGCTTTAGAATTATGATCTTGTTCGAAGAACATTAAAAAGTGGAACATAAATAATGTAACATAACTGTCATAAGATTTTTTCTGGTTAGCGTTTAAATGTAGATGTAGAAACCTTCACATAACTGAGAAGCATCATCGATGAACAAGGAGGCTCAGATGCAGACGTAAAGGCGAGGATTGACAAAGCAAGGGCCGCATTCCTACAATTGAAGAACATATGCAATTCAAAACAACTTTCAACCAATATCAAAGTGAGAATCTTCAATACGAACGTCGAGGAAGTTCTACTGTACGGAGCCGAAACTTGGAGAACTACAACAACCATCATCAAGAAGGTACAAGTATTTATAAATAGTTGTCTACGCAAGATACTCAACATCTATTGGTCGGATACCATCAGCAACAGTCTTCTGTGGGAGAGAACAAACCAGCTTCCAGCTGAAGAAGAAATTAGGAAAAGACGATGGGAATGAATAGGACATACATTACGAAAATCATCAAACTGCATCACGGGACAAGCCCTAAATTGGAATCCTGAAGGGAAGCGAAAAAGAGGGAGGTCAAAGAACACATTACGTCGTGAAATAGAAGCAGATATGAAAAGGATGAATAGGAACTGGAAGGAGCTGGAAAGGATTGCCCAGGACAGGGTTGGATGGCGAATGCTTGTGAGCGGCCTATGCTCCTTCACGAGGAGTAACAGGCGTAAGTGAGTAACTGTCATAAGATTAGAAGCAATTTGATAATCTTTTTTTCAATTTTAGATCAAACAGACAAGAAAATCTCTAAGCTTATATAAAACTCAAAAATTATTGAATGTTTAGACTTGTCACTCTAGAAGAATTAGGAAGGTGATCTAATATTAAATGCTTAATTTTTTGATAATACATTCAAATTCAAATCTGAATCTAAAATCTGAAGTAATTTATATGCAAATCTTTTAGAGATTATTATTTTAGCCTTCAGAATATTGACGAATTCCACAATAATACATTATATTTTACACAAAGTTGTTGTACATTACAGTCCTTGTCATATGAAGTATCACCCAACACTACCAGAATAGTTACTTTGATTTTAACCCCTAGGTAAAAGTGACAAACACTAGAATTTAATGGTTACTTTTACGTCTACATATAGATAACTTCTGTGACAAAGAACAGAAAGAATCATCATCTGGATTTCTAGAGTTACTCAAATGCATCTTGTCTAGCAAACATTAGGTTTTAAATACAAGTTAGATTTAGTTGAATGAAGCTTTTGGAAGTTGGTTTAATTTGTAGGTTGTATTTGTAATAGTTAGCTCACTAGTGACTTCCTTCATAATTTTGTCATAGTTCTAACGATACACTTAGCCAGTGGAGTTCAAACATATAGTGAGTGAAATAACTATCAGTTATGACAATAGCTGATTATCAAGTCATATCTCAGGTCAATATACATTGAAGTTATACCATTGAACTTTTAACCCAATGAACCTAATGATTGAGTGTTTTCCACGAGACTTGAAGGTTCTGAATTCAATGCTTAGCAAGATTTTGGATGACTTAAGTTAAGTCATGAAACGTCAGAAATACAATTTTCTACTCATTAAGATATCCTAAAAATATATTAATTATTAACTTTCTATCCGATTCTCAACTGATTGAAACTATCCAGTCCAACCTTGGCATTGATACTTACAACCTTATTACTTTGAATTACTTTAATTAAATCTTGAAACCTAATTTCATGACAAAAATATTGAATTAATTCTTGAAACTAAAATAGCCATTACTAATGATCTTTTAATGAGAACAACTATACGACTATCTTGACTTTTTGTGAAATAGTTTATGTATAAATTTGGCTTTTTGGTGAATAAAATATACCTTTGTTTCCTGAACAATTGTGATATTGATGGAATGTGTATCAAGAATACTGGTTTGTTAAGAAAGCATCATTCATTCAAGCTACACATGTTAACTTTAAAACTAATCAACCATATACACCGTTGCATTCACTGTGTGGTATTCTATATTTCAAGAAGCGTCTGTATCCACAAGACTTGTTCAATCTGAGGCATAAAGCATTTCACCAAACAAATATTCTAGGTAAATAATTTCTTTGTGTTTTATTTATTTATTTATTTTAACACATAAATATTGGTATAGGGAGGCACCAAATACATATGCGCCACACAAATTTCACTTGCTATGTGTGAGGACTGTGATACTGCCCGGGTGCCCAAACCGAAGCGGGTGGTTTTCTTAGGGGGCCACACCTGGAGTTTTCGACCTGAAGGTCTGATCCACAAGGCAGTGGAGCACCGTAAGGAGATGCAGTCCCATGGAAGCCGGTGACCAACGATTGGTTCATGCACTATTTGTTCCCTCAGGATACTGGAGCCCATGTGCACCATTGGTTTGGAATCAGGGTTTTTCAACTTCCTTAGGTGGACTCTCCATGTCCACGAAGCCGGTTAAAGCGCCAGACATTCGCTTTTCGTCCTCTCAATTTGGTAAACAACAGTAATGTCGCGACAAGGCAGTAAGTGGGATTTCCCTGGCAGAGGCTATATACGCGTGGCCATGTGAGAGTATTTTTCGAGGGAGAGCGGACTCTCCCCACTCTCGGCCATACCAGGGCATCCGGGGGCTGGTGGCTCAGCCGGAAGCTATGAAAAACTCAGAAGTCATAATAATTTCTCTAGGAGGATGCCATAAATATAGACTAGGTAAAGCTAAGAAGCCACTGTATGGTTCTTTGCAATGGTTAATCGAAGGAATTTCAGGGATCATTATTTTTGTGTCGTTAGTTTTGAAACAAAATTATTTTCTAATCATACAAATCATAAAACCTCCACATCCAATCAAAACTGCTTCCCATGAGTACAACTAGTCACATCTCATATGAAAATGGTGTACAATAAACTAAATAAATATTCTAATAAAAAAGCGTACACCTGGATATGTTAATTATATACTTTTTAAAAGCACTTAAATCAACCACTATTTATTTCCTATTTATGATCATACCATCATCATTTATTGTGATAAGTATAGAAAAATAAACCACACTTAGTTTTATGTCACTTATATTTATCACATATAATAGATACACATTATTTTTAGTTAATCCATAAATTCACAACTGATTGATCACCGGGTAGTGGTCAATGTCATGTATATCAAGCCCTTCTTAGCACTGACAGAATTCTGTCAATTAAGTTGTAATACAACCGCTAGTATAAATGATTCAACACTGCGTACGCTGTGTTGAGATGCAAGGTGATGGTTGAGGATAATCCTCAGAAAACCTTCCTTGACTTAAGTTTCGTATTATTTTTCACTGGTTAGTAAGTTGTATCTGTAATCTTAAGAAAACTAATGCTCCGTGGTGGATTCTTCCTGTCACCTAGATTTGCAATCAGAGATGTTACCATTGAGCCATCTGAACAGAACTGACTTCGTGAAGGACTGAGATGTATTTCTTATTGACTGTAAGACTGAGTGACACGAGATTGGACCCACCAAGTACAGGTACACCTTACTGACGAGTGACAAGTAACACGAAACTTAAGTCTAGGGTGGTTTTCTGTCGACTACTTCCAACCACCACCTTACATCATACATATATCTTTGTGTCTATCACTTATCTTTTCTGTAAATTGACTTCTTATCACAATATATCACCTAGTCCATTGAGTTGATTGTTTTTAACAAATAATCCTATTTTATTCAGATTATTCTGTTAAACATTGTGAATAAATAACTGATTTTTTCATAGTTCTTGTTGTAGTTGTTATAATCTTGAAGATAGAAAACAGGTAGTTTTTTAAAAAACACATTTGTTTTTGTTACTGATATACAGAATGTAACTTGGTAAACTTATTGTTATTAAATAATGGACTGAACTATTTATATTCTTTGTATATATATCATGTTTCATTGTTTAATTGAAGAGAACACACTCTTTAATGATGATGTGTTCATCGCAACTTATTATTACAACATGCTCTTGTTTAGACGTTACGGAAGAAGAAGAAAACAACATTTTTTTCCCAGACAAACAACTTGCTTTATTTTTTTCTTTTACTTGTAAAGTGATTGAAATAATTGGTAAAAAAAGTTTTCCATATCGTAGTTTCTTTGATGGTATAGTGAAAACTAAAATAAAATCATTGCAAGTCATAAATTGCAAGTATTGGAGAAGAAAGTAGTGATTGTTGGATTTTCTTAGCTGATCTTAGTTAGAAAACAATTGAAAACTCAAAAGCTTCAGATGGATGCTTCACATTAGTATGAAACTCCTTAGAGGCGCACGTTCATAATCCCACCAAGAAACAAACTCAAGATTGTAGGTCGTGAGTTCAGCTGTCTCGATAAACTCTCCACATTAAAAATAATTATGTACTCACCAAAGATAATGGAAGATGGTTGCGCGAGACTACGTACTGACTGAAGTTAGACATATACATCATTGGATGTCTGTGTAGCGGTTCAGGAGTTGATTGCTCTCCTCTGGATTAATGATCCAAAGTTGGAGACAATTTGGGGTCGTGGTTGCATCTAGCTAAGAAGTCCCATAATAGTATGAAACAGCTGTCCAGTGCTTCTGAAATTACATCGGTTTTCTGACTATGATCAACCCAGGATGGAAACTATGAGAGTTATGAATTACTTAACAGTTTACAGTATCAGTACACGTAATTTCTACTTTAACTCTAACTCGTATCTTATATAAAAAATTTCCTACGGAAACCCTAACAAGTTATTTTACAATCAAATCATCAAATTGATCAACTGTTATGTCTGGAATTATAAACTATTCAACTCTTAGTACGTGGTCAGTTTAAATCTCTAACTCTCTGATGTCCAAGTTAGTATAAATTATTGGCACCGATTAATCATCGAGTAGTAACCAGTATCGTGTTTGTTTAACATTTAATGCTGACTGAATTCCATCGATCAAATTATAATGTAGCCATAAGTGTAAATGACCTGACATTGCTTGTACTATATTTAAATATTAGGTATTTAGAAGTAGTCAACTTTGTAACTTTCATAACAATGGAGGATGTTATTTTTGTATTCACTTTAATGTTTAACATGTATTATCAAGTTATTGTGTGAATACTGGTTAAACTTGTACGGCATTTGATCCCGGCTCAGTGTTTATGTTCCCGGTTGCGGAGTAGTAGTTGAAAACTAAAGGAGATTTCCGCACTAGAATGAAACGGCTGTTCGATGCTTTTACATCTTCAGTGTTGTTTAACTTAGATGAATTCGTAATCTAAATAAATTTTAACAATCTTAATTAGTTAGATAAAAGGATAACTCAGTAACAAGTTTCGCAATTAGACTGAAGTTATCAGTAATTTTTTCACATGTACTATAGTGGTACGTGTCATTACTGATAGGAAATGGCTGTTTAGATGTCAATACTTTGGAATGTTAACTCATGCTATCAAACGGTTGAATTAATTGCATTGTATAACTTTGTTTTAATAGTTGCGCTAACCAATTATTGCTGCATAGCTTACCTGAATTAGGTTACCGTAAAATATATTTAATTATTTGTTAAGCAAACACAAGATTACATTTTTCATAATATAGTAATCTTTATAGCATTTTTTTCACGAATGATATTTAAATGAAATGTACAGCAATAAAAAGTAACTATAAGCAAAAATGGATCGTAGCTATCAGTGGAATCCAGGACGCACATTTCGTCCTATTTGGGACTCATCAGATGAATGTACTTGCAACTCAGAGTTGATATTTACTTTGGGACTCGAACCCAGTGCTGTTCACTCAAAACACCATCACGTTATCCACTGAGTTCTGATAGTCACTTGCTTGTGAAATATGGTGAATTAAAAAGTGACTTCATTTATGGTCAAAGTATGTAAAATACTGTGACTAAAAAACATATCTTAATGTCTGAATGTTCCGGGTAAAAGATTTTCAATAAAATATTTATTATACTATGAGGAACGTTTTAAACTTAACAGTTATATTTAACAATATTAAATTCCCATTGAAAATTCCAGGAATTCATTTAATATTTAACATCGAAGTATGTCACAATATTCCATTAAGTTTTCTCCTTATAGATCCACATACATAGCATTCCTTGATCGAATTTTGATGGTCATTTTAATTAGGTTACAGTTATCTGCAACAACTTCAGTGTTCAATAAATATTCCATATCTAGCACTTTCGGGTAATTTTTTTCTATTCCTTGAATGAATGAGTGCTGAGTAGTGTAGTGTAATTTTTTTCTAAAGATTTCATTTCAAGAGTTTGGAATTATCTACAACTATCTGTTATATTTATGTCACTGTAGCGTACCTTAAAATACAGAATGAAAAGTTAGACAGTAATTATAATCTCGAAGGGAAATTATATATATATATATATATATATATATATATATATATATATAGTGGCGTCGTTATTTCTGTCTTTTGTTTTAACTTATATAACCAACGTACATTAATGAAGATAATGAAATATTTTGCTTTCATTTTCTTCTTCTCGTTTTTCATAGGAACTTAATTTAAACGATATCATTTGTTTGGAACCAGCTGGTACAAATCCTTATCCATGGTGTCATCCAAACACTTCTCAGGCTACTACTACTACTACTACTACTAATACTAATACTAATACTACTACTACTACTACTACTACTACTACTACAATAACCACAACAAATAATTGGCCAAATACTTTTAATAAAAATATAAATGATTGTGATACTCGTTTGAAGTTATTTAATCTTAATGAATTCACTACAAGGTTAATTAAAAATAGTAATAACGATATAAAATTAGATAATTCACCTATTATACCAGATCATGTGTTTGAATTACGTTGTGTTGATGATTTAATTTATTATGTTGGTCAGTTAGGTTATATGGAAAGTTTAGATAATGAAAATGATACTTCATTATTGTTTAAATTACATTCTCGGCGTAAATCACATTTTCCGGCATTGCCATCAGCTGTATCTTATGTACGTAAAGCTTCTGCTCCACTGTATGGTTTAGTATACTTACCTGAACCACCATCACAGCCACCGTTATCATCATCATCATTATTGACTACAGATATGAAATCATCTAATTTCTTAAAAGTTGATTTATCTCAATGTATGAAAACTCAAATGACTGGTAATTGTATACAAGAAAATTCCATAAGTGATGGTTGTTATCGTGCAGCGATTCTTCCACCACCTCCAGGAACTGGTTTGGATTTAGCAAAACATTTAGAAACAGCTATACGTCAATCAATGCTACCTTTAACTTCAAGAACAAGTTCACAGAAAAATACTACAATCAACAATTTAAATTATCAATCTACAAAAAAAGTGCAACAACAAGGAGATAAAGAAATCTTGGAACAGACTCATGGTGCACAAAAATCCATAACTTCATCAATTACAAATAATAAATTTATTATACCAAAACTTATGACAATTAATTCATCAATATGTAAAGATCCAGTCAACATATCAGAGTGTTCACAAATTTGTAATGAAGAAGTTGATGAAAAAACTACGGAAATATCAGATTTAGAAAAAGCTGAAGAAGATGATGATGGTACAGGTAAGAGTTAAACTAATACCCAACTGTTCACCAACATCGTATATCTCAGAAATATTAATTTACTGAATGAATAAATTTAATTTTTATAACAGAGAAAATGATTAATGAATCCATAGCCGTGTCAAGAATCTTAGTCATTTATTAACTGAACTATAATAACAATATAAAGTAGATATGCAGACAAACTCTTACATATGTCATTGTTTGAATATATTATACAATAAATTACTCAAATATTTTTCAGGCCTAGAATTAAAGCTTGAATTTGATTAAATAAGCGTTCAGTAGAGATTCTAAATCTTATTTTTTTCTAAGTTTTGATTATTTAATAGTTGAATTCATGAATCAATTGAAGCTAGACAGTCATAGAAAACCTGGAAGCACTAGACGGCATTAACACTTTTGAATGCCAACTCGTTGATTTAGTGGTTAAGCGCTCGCGCGCGAGACTGATAGGTCTTGGATTCCATTCCTATGGGGCGGGATCGTGGATGAGCGCTGCTGAAAAGTCTCATTCTAGGACAAAATGGCCTCCAAGTGCTTCCAGGTTTTCCAAGATGGTCTAGCTTCAATTGACTCATGAATTCAACTATTAAATTTGTTATTATCAAATAGATTTATACGAATATTAAATGGTTGGATAGATTATAGATTTTCATAAGGTTCAAAACATATCATGATTAAGACCATTCATAACTAATTACCTTAAACCACTAGTTTTTATTTTGATATCACTGAACTATCTAACGTGAAACAAAATATACCATAACATGGAAGTACTGAGATGTAAGTGAACCCAGTTGAAAAATTTAAAGTAAAACAAGATTTGCGACTTTGATTCCATTTTTAATCATTATTCAATTCAATTAAAAATTTACTTTGATCCTGAGTGCATAGAATTTGATGATCATTACGAAATACAGTATGACATACAATATATATATATATATATATATATATATATATATATATATATTTAAAAATGGATCAGTCAGAATGACGTCGCCAATTAAATGAGGTTTTTGTTGTTTCAACGAATCGCTTAAAAAATACTTTTTTTCTTAATATCAGATTTCAATATTCCTTTTGTATCACTTCACTATGTAAATAGTATTAAATTCATAGAAATTTTAAATTTATACAAAACTATGCGAAACGTTAAATGAACCTAAGAATCATGAATTATCATCAAGATAGAATGAAATTTTCATTCGACTAGTTGCCAGAAACATGATCAATATTTGTTCCATTAAATTGTTGGCCTATGGAAACAAAGAAATACAGAATTCCGATATGACCTTCTTCAAGAGTGTTCAAAAAAATAAACACAAAAAGTATTTCAGTGAATAATTGTGTTCGATCGCTTTTTCCTCGAGCTCCACAGTTGTAAATCCATAATTAATGTATTATACTATACAAAATTATTTGATAAGATCTATTGCTGAAATTAAATTATGGAAAGATAACATATGATTGCATCACTGCTGTTAAGTAGCTACTTATCAGTATTCGTAACTTGTTACATACAAAAGGGAAAAGCGAAATTCTCTTATGCACTATCACACTCTAAAAACTATAAGGCTTGTCATCAGATAGTGACTATGAAACACTATCACTTAGCTAATCGGGCAACAACTGACCATCGGTACGACAGAAATCTTCAGTTGGTTGATTACTGAAAGGTAACCAATGTTGTTTATGTCTAGTCCTTCAGTGATAGTCAAATTCTGTCAGTCGGTATGCTTACAATACATTTTTAAAATAGAATCTTTCTAGAAGAGATTAAGGGTCTGTGAAATTTATCAGTTTAAACCGAATCTTGTTTGGAAATTAATGTTTATTGATAAACTGTTCAACTGGCCACTAAAAGCATTTCAGAAAAAATAATGTGGCCATTCAATTTTGTTATTCATTACTCTGGGTAAAACAAACACTGTAAATCAATTTGAAAGTTTATTATAGAAAACTTGCCTATAATATTTAAAGTAAAAGATATAAACATTTTTTTCAACAAAGTAAACATTTTCATACTTATGTAGAAATATTTTAATATAGCTACTATTAATTTTAGGGCATTTGTGGAGATTGCGGTATGTTTAAAGTTGAAGTCACAAGCTAGATCACTATTGAAAACCTGGAATGGCTTGATGGCCGTTTCATCCTAGTATGGGACTCCCTAGCAGGGCACACCCAAGATCCCGCCCCCCGCAAGATTTGGACTTGGGACCTACCAGTCCCGCGCGCGAGCGCTTAACCAATAGACCAATGAGCCGGCATCCAACGATGTTAATGTCTAACTTCAACACCTCTGGATGCCGGCTCATTGGTCTATTGGTTAAGCGCTCGCGCGCGAGACTGGTAGGTCCCAAGTCCAAATCTCGCGGGGGGCGGGATCGCGGGTGTGCACTGCTGAGGGATCCCATACTAGGACGAAACGGCCGTTCAATGATTTCAGGTTTTCTATGGTGGTCTTGCTTCAATTGACTCATGATTTCAACTAGTGAGATTTTTAAGAATTTGGCTAGTAGCGGTAAACCTACTCATTAAATATATAGTAGTGTAAATCTACACTAAAAATCTAAAAAAATATTATTTAAATGTTTTATCATTAACATATTCGCAGATACATTTTAGAAAATAAACTGACAACTTGGTGCTCTCAATTGTGAGCTAGTTTTGTGTATTCCTAAGCGATTCCTATATAATTCATTTTAGGATTTCTGATGTTATTTTGTTGAAGATCTACATAAAACCACTTTTTTAAATTAGAGACATATCACTCGATCTATTAATACAGTAGCACTTCTGTTTTCATCAAGAACATGGTTTGAAATATATTTTTGAAGTACTTCTAAATTAAAATTCAAGTGCACTAAACGATGATTTACCAATTTGAAGGCAATATCTTTATAAGTTATCATAAATATAGAGACAATATTCATCTATCTATATGATGAGCTCAGGACAAGGTGTAATGCTGAGCAGTAATAACGCGCTTTGTTATATGTTATGATATCACATCAACATTTTAGATTATACTGAATAGTAAGTATAAGATGAACTTTCCAGGTTTATGCTGTAATTTAGTTTATCGCTAGATTATCAGTACCGATGGAACTTGCGTAAACTAATCCCTTTTTATATTAAACTATATGTTCTTTAGAACTACTTAAATAAATAATAATTGTATATTTATAAGTGAATAATTCTGACGTAGATTTTCTAAGATTTCAATTAGATGTAATGAATTGTTCAGTTGAATTCTCTGATAGTTAAACATTAACATACGGCTACTATCAAGTGATAATTGTACGATATTCATTCAATAATCTTATATAGAGATGTTGATATACAGAAGTGTTCAGAAATCACAAACTATAACAAAACAGATATTCAATCCTTTTTGACCCTCAAGGATTGTTTGAATAGTATTAGCCCATGATAAAAAACTATTTCTAAATGAACCTAATAACTCTTAGAAAAAATCTATTCACATTTAGATACTGATCTCAGCATTTTTAACTAGGATTGTTTACAAAATTTATAACTGACTGTTTTAAAATGAAACAAACTATTAAATAAGTTAAAATTACCTCATGTTGACGATTTCTATTTCATCTTTCTTTCTTTATTTACAGGGAGTTCAATAAGTGCTTTTATTGAAAGTAAACAACCTAGTGATAATGTAAGTTCGTACTATATTTTATCCTTTTTTTCTTGCTCTTTTCATATGTTAAATAAATTGATTTGTTTATATTTAATAAGAGTATTATTTCATAATAAACATTTATATGAATTCATATTACAAACATGGTTTAATAACTGATCCATTCAATATTTTATGAATGATTCAAAATTTGATAACTCTTAGTTAAGTTATATATTGAGCCAATAAATTGATTCATTGAATTAGATTACTTGATTGATCTGATATTATTTTCTTTATTTCTACTTCAATTTGAATTAATATCTCACTTTCCGATTTCTTGTTAAGTTTATTCTAACTCTTTGATTGGTTTAAACTATGTAGAGATATTTCTGACCAACACTTTTATCAGGATTTAATGAACAGTTAACTCGAGGTCTAACAATATTCTTTATTTTTTTTACATAAAACTATCAACTACTTATAAGTAGGTGGAGATGTATTAGTGTTAATTAGTTGTTGAAAATCATTATCAGCCAGAATCAATAACTATTTCTGCCAAACAATAAATTACACTTAACTGGTGTGTCTCAATGTTGTTATCTTTTTTACTAACTTATGTTCCATTAAGTGTTATGTCTACCAGCTTAGCTACTGTGTACGATACGCGATCGACTGCCAACATAGAATTTGGTTTATGGTCGAGATATCACATTTTGATTAGTTACTGAATATAATAAAATTATTGGAGTTTATCATCCAAATCTTATAAGTAATTAACGACCACTAGTGTTTTCCTAGTAAGTCCAGAGCTATTTATAAATCCTAGACACTTTTCCTCTTAATTCAAAGAGTTATTCCTCAATCTAGACAACCAACTTAAATGTAAAGTTAAAACGGTGATTTGTAAATGATTTACCAATTCTTCAGTTTTGATCAAGTTCTCTCTCATATAAGCTGTTTTCAGTCACTAATCCTACGGTTTTTACGCTAAACCATCATAAGATCAACCATTCTAAATCATGTAATATGGTGACCTACAAAGTAAAATACTTTAAACTAACTGAAGGTTCCAGCGAACGAAGTGAGTAATTAGCTCATTTGCGGGTTCTACTAGACACATTAACTTGATTTAACATTTTCAATTATTTAAAATTGAGTTTACGAGTAACTTTGTTGAAAATGTTTACCTTGTTATTATTCATTTTCGGTCTTTTGAATTTCATTGAAAGTAATTCGGAGGTGCCAACTTCTGTATCCTTTTATAAAATTTCAGATTATTAAGCAGAATAGTTTTTTATGCTTGTTAGTAAATCTAATTTAAAACAATTAGTCCGTTTTATAAATTTCGATAGAACAATGAGAAGACGGAGTTGATCTGAAAAATGTGATGTATTTACGCTATACATTTCGAACAATCTGGTCACACATATACTTGTCAGGGTATTTTTATATGAAAATACTAAAGGTCAAATCAATAAAAGTTCAATTAAAATAACTAAGTGGAGAGAAAGAATAAGAAATTGTCGCGTTATCCTAGGCCATGGAATGACTTAAGGATTACCAAGGTAAATTCAAGGTTACGACAAATTGTTTTTCTACACATAAATCATTCAAAACAAATAAGTACCTAAGACTCATTTAAGGATTTGAACTATACTCAACTGATAGACCCCTAGTTCAATATTCTGAAGATTGTTCGGATCAAATCCACCTGGAACTTGATTCTTCTTCTTCTTCTTTTAAAAAAAAACTCGTTTTCCAGCTATCTCGTATAACATAACTGTGAAAAAATCGATGTGAATTAAGTAATTCTTACTCATGTATGCACATATTATACGTAACTTCTTACTTTCATGTTATCGTAATCTCTTAAAGTCAGCATGCATATTGCAACAAACATTTCTGATCAACGTATGTATTTATTCATACTAATTTGTTCGATGAGAAAAAGAATGTTTTAATTAGTAACACGATTATGAAATTAAGCCCAAGCTGGAAAAATAATCAATTCTTTTAGAAACATTTATCTTTCATGAAAAAAAAACAACAGCGTAATACTTCATAGATCAATAGTCGAGAACATCATTCCTATATACTCTCAACCACAGGTCGATCAGTGCCTAAGCTCCCAAAAGATCAGATCGATGATAGAGAATGAAAAAGCAAAACCGTGAAACTATTAATATTAATGTGTTGTGAGTTACTAAAAATAAGGAATAAGCTTGAAATAAATAAAATACTTGAAATTTAAGTGAAAACATGAATTTGATACTGACAAGTGGTAGATACCGGCCATCTTGCCTAAAATCGTCAATTAATGGTCTTAGAAGTACCATAAACGATTTAAGAAACCTACATCTGTATACAGTTTAACCAAAAACTGATAGATTCATGAGTTGGTGGCATACTTTCATTTGTTTTTAAAAAAAATACATCTCAATGATAATCATAATACCAGGGATAGGTAGTTGGTGATTGAGTATTCTATACAATTGTTTTAGTGCCTACCCAGTTGTTAAAGATTTACAACATAATCAGTTTAAGTGCTTCCCTTGTCTGTTACTGTACTCATAGTGTTGGTCTTGCTAATCCAATGCTGTCATCGTGAGAAATGTTTTGTAGATATCGATGGTCAAATATTTATGACCAACACATGTTTTATGTATTCAGTGCTTGTTTATTAGAAAATAAAAAAACTTACAATCCTATGTTCATTCCTCAAAAACATCCAGTTCTTTCGCTTTCATGGTTCGTGGAATGAGCTTCATTGAGTTACTGTAAATAAACAGCTTCTACATGATAAAGTGCCCTCCATTTACACAAAAGTTACTTTTAAGAGAATTAATACATTATAACTATACGCTCCAAGGTGGTAATTTTTCATTGGTTTTTATGAGAATCAGTTATCATTCAGGCTGCCTTAAATCTGAAGAGCAAAACTCATTTCTGCTGCACCGCTATTTAGATACCAAAAACCCTAGTGAATCACATTAATTTATTTGTAAGAGATGATTTTATTTAATTGCTATTAAGTTGAACATTTTATGGTCCCTCAAACAGAAGTTGATGGAGCAGGGTTGGGACTTCAACTATATTGACCATTAGGCCACTATCCTATTTCCTAACAAATAACAAAGATAAAATTCAAATTAGTTATTGGAATCAATATGAATTGTTGTCATAACTACATTGTAATGACACTGCCTCTGTTGTAATTTGCGTCCTAGTTGTAATCATTTGGTTAGTCATCCATCTTCAGAAGATAATTTTTGTGTTAACCAACATAAGGTAAGAAAAATATGTATATAAACCACTTATTCTTACATTATATCAGTATTAAGTAAAACACATCCCATATACACGCATAACATACGAAATAAGTATTTGCCAAAAGTATGTTTTGTTAGTCAAATGATGGCCATTTTAAAGATGACGTTGCAAATCGTTGATCAAATCTTTTAACGAAAACATTTATGCTACAAGTCTATGACTTGTAGATCACCAAAGTAGATGATCTATGTCGATTGATTGAGGGCCTACTTGAGTCAGTGAGAATGATGTGACCGAAAGCTAACGTCGAAATCACACCTCACAGTCAGCACCTAACATGGATTACCCCTTCGTCGTATCAAGGTACTATGGATGCTTTGAAGACCATACAACACAAAGGACGTTATTACGGAAATATATTAGTAAGAATGAGTACAGAGAAGATAGTGAGATCACCACCACATTGGCCAGTCTATGGCATACAACTAACTGATGCGAGTTGGTTATGCTTGACTTTGACAGGGATCAATGATCTGTTCGATATTCAGTAACTCAACTGCCGGATGATTTGGTTAGGTCTCTGTGACATTTCACTGTCCTTACAAACTATTCTCATATCTACAGCTTTTGTATCGAGAAACTAAAAATCTGATCTGCTAGTCTATTTCGAAGCACATTTACGAGTTCATGTACCTCTACAGACATAAATACAATATCACTTGAAAGATGTATTAAAGAACGGTAAATAGTATGACAGATCAACGAAAAATGGTAGGTTGATCCTTAGCTTTGTTATTGGACATTTTATGATCTCAACCTCCTGCTCTTTCAACAAATTAATTCTCTAAATTTCTGTCAACTTATTCGAACGAAATTAAACTGAAACATCATTATATTGTTGAAGCATCAAAAGTAATCCATTCGGTATATCTGTGGTATTCTTTCATTATATGACTTTGATCTACTATTCATTTCATATGATACATTAACTATTTTTTTCTTTATTGATAAATCTTTACCTCAACCTTTAAGTTTGCCTATTAACTTTAGTTTCTGATGAAGAAATTTTCCAGATTTTATCTACTGAAATATTTACAAGTGTGTATACCCATGAAACTGACTTCATTGAAAATTTCATTTTTATGAAATTTAAAATAAAAATAATTTTAACGAAATTGTTAACTGTACAGTTGATGTTTAATCAAAAGGAAATCGTGGTAGATGATAAAATGATTTTATTATTATTCTTCATGAATATAGAAATGTTGATTAACTAAGTAACAGGCTGTTTGGTTTTTGAATAACATATAACTTGGTGACATGATTAAAGGTAGTCTACAAGAAACCCTGGATTTCGTTTTAATATTGTTTTTGGTGGAGTTTTTTTCTCTGAGCTGGATGGTTTGGTCGTGGAGCTTTCATCGTTCTTCTGAACGACATCATCAGCACAAACTTCAGATAGAAGTGAAATGTTCAAATTTCTCCATATGTGTTTCACAGCTTGTTCTGTGCACCTCGATGTTGAGTGGTTCTTATTGACCTTAAATTTATCATTGTTTACTTCTTTGTTTTGGTTGTGTCTCCCATTAGTTTGGTTTTTGTTCCTATATTTGTGCATGATTTTCCTGATTGGTTGGTAAATTGGATTGATTTCAATATGCCTGTCGATTGCTGATTGACCTGAGTGCCAGGCTTCTAAAAATTCCCTGGTGTTTTTGGAGTTTCCTCTGTCTAAGATTTCCACATTTTTCCAATCGAATGAGTGTCCGCAGTTGTCCACCTGTATTGATATAAGCGAGGAGATATCATGGCGTTTGACTGCTAATTGATGTTCATGTAGGTGAAGGTGAAGGGGGTGTCCGCTTTGTCCGATGTAGTGTTTTTCGCAGTTGGCACAATTTATTTTGTAGATGATGTTTGATTCGTTTTCCTTTATTATTTCATCCTTTGGTTTGCATAGGATTGATTGTAGTGATTTTGTCGGTTTGTGTGCCACACCTATCCCTAAGGTTTTCAGCAGTCTCGTTGCGGTTTCTGATATTCCTTGTATGCATGGTAGGGTGATCCTTTTGTTGATTTCTCTGCTTGACTTGGGTTGTGATACTGCGTGCAGTTCGTATTTTTTGATGAAATTGATTGGATAGCCGTTCTTTTGAAATACATCCGTCAGGTATTTCTCTCCATTTTTTCGTGCTGCCAGTGTACTGCAGTGTGTCCTCGCCCTCTTGAACAAAGTGTGTACGTGAATAACATATAACTTGGTGACATGATTAAAGGTAGTCTACAAGAAACCCTGGATTTAGTTTTAATATTGTTTCGAATGCTTCAATAAGATTCGCCTGTAATTTTAAGTTAGGTCATTTAGATCAGTTGACAAACTGCAACTTAATCGAAAGAATTTGATCAGCATTAAGGATGATATGATATACATGAAATTAGTTACTAATCAATAATCAACCAATTATAAACACATAAATCTCAATGAAATTTTATCACATCAGATTATCATAATAAAAGTACAGTGAACTAGTAAACTTTTAGTTGGTAACTTAACGCTTTCATCATCTATTTTATTAATGTAAAATACTAAAACAAAAATAATGAAACTCTTAATTGTTGTGATGAAAAAAGTGTCGATTTTAATGGAATACACTATAAAATAAATTCTAAATGAAAACAGAGCAGATGAATTGATGAGAAAAGGCTCTAGAATTATTTCAATACGTTAACGCGGCATCCTTATGCACTTCATCATAGATTCTTTTTCTATTTTCCGCGTTTATTGATTTTTTTGACAGGTTCAAGCATTGTATGAAATATTTCCAGATGAAGTTTTAGGCTCTGGACAATTCGGTATTGTTTATGGAGGTAGGTTGAACAAAGTTGTAAATATCCATAAAGAACAATATTGTAACAGTAATTCCTTTTTTTCTATACAAACTGTAATGTTATCATCAATGTATTCAGTCTTACCAGTTTTTGGATTAATAATACGTGTACGGGGTTTGAGATTACTGAATTTTACTCTTTGCGTTGCGAATCAACCGTAGTTGGACAGCTATTTTAAAACAGTAAGTACTGGTGAAATATTTTGTCCTTGAATCGCTGGATAATTATTTCATTCTAGTATGGAATTATTCGGCATTGCACATTCACGACACCACTAGAGTTGCTAACTTATTGATTTGAAGATCTGATCGTGGGACCCAAAGGCTTTAGGTTCGATCCCCAGTAGGGTTGTGAACGAGCGCTATTCAACCGTTCAGTAGTTCTTAGTTTTCAATGGTTCTTCAACAAATATGAGCTCATGATGTAAAAGTTCATATTTAATAATACCCTCAATTCTTCTTACTAATAAAATATCCTAGCTATTTGTAAGTTGTTTAAAGGCTAGATGCACAATAAAGATTTACATTTTGTTGTACTGTAACTAATAAGCTGTATTTTAATGACCCATTTAGACTTTTGCTTCACTAAATTTATGATTATACTTCAGGAATTTAGTGAATCCCATGAATTCAGTAAGACACATACATGGTCTCAAATACATCAGAAATCATATGGAGATAAATCTCATCAAATTAAAGATATAATTAATAGCCCTATATTTGGTGTGTAACACCGGTATTAATATATATACAAGATAACCGATTACATGTAATTGTAATTGGTTTAGTACTTTTAATACACAAAATTATTTGAATGAATATACAGTTTTTGAATTAATCATTTCTACACTGAGTGATAAATTATCATTATGATGAGAGTTAGTGGTGATAAAATTGTATCCTTATAGCCTGGTAAAGTCATAAATAGTTAATAATTTATTAGATTTTCGGTAACTTTCAGCTTACATAAATCAGTCAGCAGTCAGTCAGCTACAACGTAGAACCAGGCACATATATGCATCGGTCCAAGTTGCCATACCTCATTAACACAACAAGACGAACACCGGATTCATAAAAGTAGTTAATTCAGAGGTGCAAGTATATAAAAGAAAGATTGCAATAAGGATAAAGTACAGGAAGAAAGAATTAGTTCGTAGAAAGAAAGATATGAAGCGATTTTAATCTCTTAGTTTAAGGGAAGACAGAGAGTGTATACACCTACACCATTGTGATCGATTCTGAGCCATGTCACCAAGAGTCTCCAACCATTGGTTACGATAGTCACGCGGACCTCAACCAGGTAGTCTGCATCTACCAACATGGCTCAGACTAGAAGTTAGTGACTTCAAGCACTGATGCCACGTTTTGGTTTGGCCGCCCCTAACTTTCTTCCAACCATCCCGAACGCCGGTTAGCATTGCATGTCGTGGTAATCGGTGTTCAGACATACGTAATACGTGGCCCAACCGTCTCAGTCGATGAAGATTCACAACCTCATCAACTGATTCACCATAATTCCCTAATACCCAGCGTCTAGTATTCTGCATTAAATGGTTAGATAATTGATTATTCATTGGTTTTCTGGGAAATATCATTAAGATATACTTCAAGAATGATATTATCAAGAAAGGTAACGAGAATTTCATATTCAGATTAGAGAATACATCAACTTCATGGTCATCCGTTAGAACTATTTTTTTAAAAATCTTTACAATGATTGCCAGAGTGTACATTTATTATAGTGAAACGTTTAGAAAGTGATTATACAAAATAAAATATATGACAGTTACTGGTCATAAATAGACTGTATAACTAATAAACAAACATTTGACAGTACAATTCACGAGGATATGCATGAAATATTTAAAAATTACTCAGATAATTTGTTGACTACTTAACAACCTTATAATTTGATTCTGTTGTTAACCTGAAGCCATATGATATAAAATAGTTCAATCGATGTCAAGTCACTTGAACTAATGGATAGACTTCAATTTAATCAATAGAATTAGATCAGCACTAAAGTCTAGACAGAGATAACATTGGTTACTGCTTAGTCGGTTGTACATGATGTGGAATGTAACACAAACATTCATCACTTCAAGTTACTACATCACATTAGTACAACGATATATCATTATTAGCAGTAATAGAAAACACTAGAAATATGATAGTAGCAAAATTGATTATTTTTTAATAAATTACACAGAAGTGCATGAACCCTGCATGATGTACACATCAAAATATATAAACTAGTTTTTAGTCAATAGATAGTTATGCACAGAAATATTTTGTTCTAACTTTTATATACTAATTTCAAAACGATTTTTGGTTTACGAATAATAGTGAGGTAATATCTAATTTAGAAAACAATAATAATGGTATTTATATATGTTTACAACAGTCGTATATCAATACTGTTGACGGTTTTTAAGGTCAGAAGAACCACTATTTATTTATCATAATAACTTGTATGAGTATCTTTTTTAATAGCTATAAAACAAATCTAGAATAAATTACAAAACAGTAGACTGTCAAATTGAGTAAATGATTCATTTTAACTGTTATTACATCGACTTTCTTTAAGTTGGTAGGTTTATAACTCAATATTAGTTTACTACATTACTATAACTACAAAGAATTTCGAGACCCGAAGATGGTTGATTCAACTATATAATAATTCAAACGATTTATAATGTTGAAATGAATCAGTCATTCAGTGATTCCTGGTTATCCAATAAATATCAGTCTTGAAGTGTATATATATAGGTGTAATCATATCATTGATAAATTATCCATTTTTTTCATAGGTATACATCGTAAGACGAAACGTGAAGTGGCCATTAAAGTCATTGACAAATTACGATTCCCTACTAAAAGAGAGGCGCAACTAAAGAATGAAGTATCCATTCTGCGTGTAAGTATTTAATGATAAAAATAATTTTATGATAAAATTATATAATAGTACTTCATAAGTTAGTTTATACATTCAAAGTAATGATTATACTGATTTTCATTTTAGTCTAGTTGTGATAAGATGTCTTGTAGTTAAAAGATTTATTTTCTAACCAGTAGTTTGTAAGTTCAATTCCGACTCAAGTTATTTTCGTGTGAACAACTGGTCGAAAGTACTAGCCCTCAAACCAAGTCTATGACTTAAACCATTTACTCGGGAGATGAGTCACATTTCTGGACATAAAAAAAGCATGATTACAATCCACAACATCAATGTGTTAGACATGGATTTTATAGACCATCCACAAATCTATGACATTGGAAATTGATTACTAAGCTTACTTATTGCCCGCCAAGTGAAAAAAAAATGCTATCAATTCATAAATGTGACAAACATGAAAACACTATTTATTATACATTAAAACTTCATGATTTGAACGAGGTTTGAATGAATGAATGAACTGAACCGCTCTCGATAGGTAATATCCAACGATACTATTTGATCGATTGACAGGCATGTCCTCAATAAACTGATATCAGAAGACAAAATAGCTGTTAAGTAAAAACGGGTTTTCTATGTAATAAATGCTTATCTAGAAAACGTTAATACAAAATAAGTACGACTATATGATGTAAAAACGATCGGATGTCAATTTTGTGAGTCGTTTACTCTTCAACGAATTAAGATCTTTCTCATTATATTAACACTGAACTAAATTGATTCAGTATTCCACTAAATCAATAAAGAAAAAATGTTTCATCACATTTTTAGGTAGGTAGAACAGATTTACAGTTGCTAAAGAGCCGGGAAATCTGATAAGAATAACTTTGGGGAATATTCATAATTATAAGTATAGTAACGATGGTATATGGTAGTAGATGAGTTAAACGGGCAAGATTGTGAATTTTGTTTTCAAATTGTATAACAGGTGTCGAGTATGGAGATGAAAATTCTGGATGTGTACTCGCACAACTTACATACATCCACTATCTGCATTGTTTAAAAATAGGATACACTATTTTCAGTAACGTAATTACAGTTTAAAAGCTGATAATCTACAGATTGACCACCAGGTTAATAGTTCAACGTAACCTTCATTGTGACTTGACTATAGCCTCAATTAACAATTTAAGTGAATGATAAAATTTGTAAAATCATCAAGTACTTTACAGATTGCAAATATCTTTTTCTATAAGTCAAAATATTTGAAAATCCATTCCGTACAGCATATTCTCAAAATTAACATTAAGGTTAGTATGCCAAGGGCAAATGAATAACTATATGATCAAATCGATGCCAATCAGTAAGTTAGCCCATTTTTGCAGCAATTAACTGCGAAGGTAACACAAATATTGGTTTGAGCAACATACAACTGTCATTATCCAACAGGTCGAAAGTGTGGCTTAAAATCGAGTACACAAACTGTACATGGTGAAGAATATATAAAATCTGGCTTAGAGTAACATTTGTCATAAGAAATTTGACGAACACTACACAGCTATCCCAATCGAAGTACAGTGAAATTTGAACCAGATGAATGCACACTGTTTAGTACCAAAATGTTTGATAAAATGATGTTGATCTTACTGCATTTGTTCATTTACCACAACTAATTATTTGCATCACAATTGGGAATGACCCAGTTACTTATCTGAAATCAGTTATTTAATTTTCGCGATTACAAACTAGTATATCTTCCTTATAAATCGAATGATATATATCGCAAATAAATCTCATGAATGACGATTTCCTTTCCTGGTAATCTGACATCTTAATTTTTGGATGACCACGTCAAGCTGTTAATAGAGTGACGAAATTACTCAAAATATTTATATGGACACATAAAGTAAAACATCTATGCAGTGATATCGGGTTGTAATGAACATAACTTAATTTTTTATGTAACGGCCAGTGATGTAAACCTCGAAATGAAGAACTTCACCGAGTTACTCATGAGGAAATGTGCGAACTACCAATGATAAGTTGTGGCTGAAGCTCAACCATAGCAGGCATGAAACAAGTATCGCCGATGGTAGGTGCGCATTATCGCGAACTGACTGTGGTACAAATGCAAACCGAACAATATTTATCACGAAGGGCATGTTGAATCCTTATTGTCGTCAGTACCTGCTGTCATCCGTTCCCATGCTAAAACAAAATAGGAGTCCAGTGGCCTTTCAGCAGTTATCTAAATTTGTCAAGGCATACAGGCAATGTATATTCGACTTCGATACTCGTGATGTCCTGAAGCAGTTATTCTCTATTCATGATTTTGTTTTTCTCTAAATTTAATCACATGTTAGAGGATGTTAAACGTTTTATTAATTGTTGTTTTATAGAATCTTAATCACCCTGGAGTGGTAAATCTTGAAAGAATGTTTGAAACACCAAAGCGCGTAAGTTGTCGAAATTTTGAGTGCCATTGTGACAAATTCCTAACGGATAGCAAACAAATAAATGTACCGATTTTATGTGCGCTCCATGCGAATATCTTAATATGTACAGTCACGTGAATAAGATGAGCAATCGAAACTATGGAGGGTAACCATGAGACAATCCTATCCTGGTTATGAGTTCTGCATATGACCACTAAACATAAACTCCATGTTAACGGATAAACACCAAAGACAATAATGACAACAATTACTTATAATAAAATTTTGGGTCTTAATATATCTCCGCACTACCCGTACGACCTCATCCGATCGATTGATATTTCTACAGTGAGTATACATTCAGTAAATTTGTAAAACTAAACACTAAAAGTTCAGAAATACTATAGGCTGAAGTAAAAGTACACTGCACATATTACTATCAAGACATTGTTCGGTTCAAAACTTACATATGACTGAACAGAGGAACATATAGATTCAGCAGGCAGCCAAGACAGGATGCAGTAAGATTTATTTGATACTCATAATTGATGAGACGAGTGGGACTTTACAAATGGTTAGACATTACTTCTAAGTATAGTATCTTACACAGCTGTTGGTCTCGAATCTGCTTTGCTAAATGACAGAGGAATTCGGATTTCGCCCTCTAGTTCGCAAGCCATAACCCCTTCTGAATGTCAGTTTGAGCGACTATGTGGTAACTCGTGGTCATCTACCTGTAGAGTGAGCTAATAAACTGAATTTAGTTTCTTAATGTACTCTTTTTTTCTCTGAAGTGGCTTACTCGGGGTCACGAAGCGTCAGAAAATTTAATTTAGTTAACTCATCGTAATCAATTCACTAACAGAGTTTGTGTTTGGACGTTTTATTCTTCAGGTATTTGTGGTAATGGAAAAACTAGCAGGTGACATGCTGGAAATGATCCTTGGATCGCCACAAGGTCGACTGACAGAACGAGTTACGAAATACCTGGTGACACAAATACTAGTCGCTTTGCGATATCTCCACCTGCGAAGCATAGTACATTGTGATCTCAAGCCAGAAAATGTCCTACTGGCTATACCACCTAACACAGATGTGAATAATATGGGACTCCCAGAAGTTTCTCAGGTAAGATGTGTAAGAACCTCGGATAACACCTATGCCATTAAAAAATGGCAGCATAAGCAAGCATACGTTGCGGTGGTGAGCAGCCGATTACACCGACCGTGAGTAATACGGCCACTCAAATGTCATCCAAAGCAGCACAAATACCACGTCGCTTCACCCCGCAGAAACAAGAACAGATTGCCGTCATGTGCTTATGTGCAACCAAATGAAATTATCTATGGTTAAAAGAGCAGGAAACTGCTCTCCTTGAAACTTAACCCCCATCCCATTTTTTTCTATTTACAGAGTGTAGCCCAACAGTTTCCCCAGATCAAGCTGTGCGACTTTGGATTCGCAAGGATTATAGGCGATAAGTCCTTCAGACGATCGTTGGTTGGTACACCAGCATACCTAGGTAAGTTAAGAACTTAAGTCGTAATAAAAGGTGGTCTTAGAGATTTGAGAAAAGATCATGGGATTACAATGATATGACACTCCACTTTTTATTTCAGCTCCTGAAGTACTGAAAAACCGTGGATACAACCGAGGGATCGACATGTGGTCTGTTGGAGTGATACTTTATGTAAGGTAAATCAGATTATGTCGAATCTAGTTAACGTGCCTGAAATTGGTAGTCTTAGTGGGACATTTCCGTTTAATGAAGAGGAGGATATAGCCGAACAAATAGAAAATGCCGAATTTATGTATCCAAGTGACCCGTGGGACAACATATCTGAAGACGGTAAGACCCACTTTAGGAAATATATGTATTCTTATAAGCCATACACCTAATAACACATTTGCTGCAAGTACGTCTCCGAAACCGATTCTCCGTTGAGAGAAGCCTTAACCACATTTGGATGCAGGTAAGCTCATTCAATACGCAACTAAAAGCGATTTAATTTACGGAGGTATAAGTACCCGCCAGCTCAACTCTTAATCTAAAATAAACCAACTTGATTTCTAAAACTGAGCTTTATCGTTTTGACAGGACTACATATGTTGGTGCGATTTACGTCGGTTGGAAGCCACACTCTCAAATGAAAGTCGGTTTCTTACTGCAAATGCAGATGATGCACGGTGGGAAAGATATCGTGAAAAGTGGAACAGCGAGATTGATGCAGAACCAAGGAACCATGTTTCCGATCAGACGTCATGCAAGCTTCCTACATGGAAGGAACTCGCTTGGAGAACAGACAAATTTTTAGCTCATATACTTACAACCAAATGAACTTGTACGAAACCCATTGTGATATAATAAAAAACTTTTAATGATTGATTTGTAACACTTGTGCATAATGGACAGGACGAGTGAGACAAAAAGATAGCACAATGGAAATGTGAAACAAATTAGAGTTCAACTAAATGTATTACGAGGAATTAAGTTCATAAATCAATTTTAGCGATAACCGGTGTAATATTGACTCATTGCTGGCGGAGCGGCAGCAGTTGGGACCCCACCTGGAGGAGCTCCGCCAACTGGGATAGTACCATATCCAGGTGGGTAAGTAGAATACCCAGGGTAATAGCTTGCATAAGGATTTGCGGCTGGTGTCTGTGGCGTTACTGTTGCGGTTGGAGCACTTGGGACGCTACTGGATACGCTACCCGACACAGCCGAAGGCTGTTGCTGTTGTTGCCAAGCATTAAATTGTTGTGCAGCAACCATCGCTGCATCATACTTCCCAGCTCCTTGAGTACTTCCTGTAGCGCTTTGAGGAGCACCATAGTAGTAGGAGGCATAAGCCGCTGCAGCCGGTGTCGAATGGTCAGATGTGGAAGTAGTAGTGGCGGCGGAAGAAACTGCTGGCGCGGTTGTCTGTTGAGTTAGTTGAGGTTTGTCAGCAACAGCTGAGGCATATAGTGACTGTTGGGTGGTACCAGTAGTGGGTGCACATCGACTAACCGTTGCAGATGGTTGAGCAGTTTGCGACCCGTATGTACCATATCCGTACCCATAGTTGTAAGCACCATAAGATTGACTAACGGGAGGGGCGCTTGCATTACTACTTCCATCAGGTTTTGTATTCTGAGTAGAATAACCATACCCGTAACTTTGTGGTTGAGCTTGCTGAAAAAAAAATTAACGAGCTTCATAAACGAGGTAGAAAGATAAACATTATCAGGGCAAGGATGAGCATTCTTCAAACGTTAGTAAGCGAATGGCATTGGTAATCATCATAACATAGTTAATAGGAAATGCTGTTTTATCATAATATCAGGTTTAATAATAGTCTAGAATGGATAATTTTATAATTTACCTGGATAGATGTTGCAGTTTGTTGTACTTGAGGTTGTGGTCGATTAACTGGCTGTGATGGTGGGTTATAAGTAGTGCTCTGTACGGGGGCAGCTGGAGGGATCGGTTGGGAAGCAGGGGGTCCAACATCGAACCGACTGCGTCCAGTTCTAGGACCTCCGGGAGGATTAGATGGTTGGATAGCTGCTTTTTGATTACCATTTGAAGTAAAACCGCCTGGATAACTGGATCCCAAAGGATAGCTGTTATAGGCATTTGTTTGGGAAGGAGTATTAGTTTCTGGTTTGGCATCAAAACGCGACTGTCTAGGAACGGGAGGGATACTGGTAGCAGAGGGATGATTGTCGGAATAGCGAGCAGCACCAGATGCATACAAACTAGAACTATCTGTACTTGAATGTTCATTCTGTGACATGGTTGTTTTATCAGGATCACTGGTACCATAAGCATGGGATCCTCCAAAAGGACCACCTGAATTTTGTTGCATTCCAGGTCTCCCAGATCTGTCTGATGCCATACCTCCACTGTAAGGATCTGAGCCAGGATTTGTGAAATTACCTTGATCACCAGTATATGAGTTGGGATAACTAGAAGCAGAATTAGGATTCCCATATGAAGGGAGATTCCCTCGATTGTAACCACCACCAGGTGCATTTGGATATCCTGCTGGACCACCGGAGAACGGGGGATTGCCTCTTTGGTAGGCAGAATAACTACCACCAGAAGGCTTTTGCAATGCGTTTGCGTTGTAAGGACCTGGTCCGCCAAAACGTCTGTTCCGATAATCATCATTTGGTGGCCCTGGATATTGCTCCTCAGCCGGGTTTTGATAACCTTCCGCACCACCGTACATATTATACTGTTGGCTATCATCGGAAAATCCACCAATCATGTCGCGATCAGGCTGAGTACCACCACGACCGGAAACGGGTGCGTTGCGGCCCAGTTGACTACGATCAACACCCCTGTCAGTATTAGCTGCACGTCCTAGAGCGATTGCTCCACGTCCCATTGACGTTCCACCACGACCGGGGGCTCCACGAGATCCCTGCATTTGAACACCGCGGCCACCACTTCCGTACCCTCCTCTAAAGCCTCCACTCATTGGGCCACCTGAAATATACATATGTAGAGATATAAATGGGGGACAAAATGATGGGAATGTGCTGCAGCATAATCAGAGATAACGTACCTTCATACGGCGGCTGAGAAAGTGAGGCTTCGTTCATATCATAGGCGTTGCCAATTGGCTCTCCATCACCTGTATTGCCATCAAAGCGACTGTACATTGGGTCATTTGGTCCACCATAACCTGGGTTCACCCGGTCCATAGAACCACGGTAGGCACCCCGTCCAGCACGCGAATCAAAATTCGGTGCCGGGAACCCGCCTCTTGCAGGATTACTCCTCATCATGCCACCGCGAGAACTGTCGAAACCTCCAAAACCACCCGGGCCAGACATCCCACCTGGGAACGGTCCGCGATTCGGAGCCCCGAAACGACCACTAGGAGGACCACCACCATACCTTCCACTGGGCTGACGACCAAACGACTCTCGGTCACTATCTTGAAAAACGCAGGGGAAAACAAAGTATTATGAAGAGACCGAATAAGTAATGAATCTTAAACTGTTATCAATAACTGTCACTTACTACGATCGAAGCGATCTCCCTCACGACTACGATCACGGGAGGCATTGTAACCACCTCTGAAAGATAAAGAGAAATTGTTGAGAAGCCTGGAATCACTAAATCACATCACGTTTACTTCTAACCACATCAATTTTTACCTGTAGTCACGGCGACCACGATCATCATTCCGGCGGTTTGGAGAGCTTCGAAAATCATCACGTCGTCCACGTGGCATGTCACGACCACGATCTCGGCTATCCCGTCCGCGGAAACGTGAATTACGTGAGTCATCCCGGTCACGGTTCCCACCATCCCAACGTTGGCGCTTTTCCGGTGGTTGCCTGTTTGCCTGTCCTTCTTGATTGTATTGAGCAACTAGGACTTTTACATCATCCAGACCAAGTTCGGTAAAGATAACCTCATCAAAAACGCTAGAGGGATCTTCAGATACAGGTCTAGGAATCCCGAAATTTGCTGAAAGAGAAAAATTATTCCTTCTGACTTAGCTGGAACATGAAATCGTTTACAGGGAAAAAATCTAAAACAGCACATAAATTGAAACAAGTAAATGAAAGTAACCGTGTCTTTTATTTAAATATATTCGAACAACTGATCAGTAATCACTCGCTAGGTTTACTTTCGATCGACGAAATATAACCTAGACGCTTGAGTAGTAGAGAACCACGTTGTTTTTCCGGGCAGCATATTGTGAACGATTAACAAATGTTTGTTTTTTGGTAATAGTATGTACAGTTTGGTAGGATCATTTTGTAACTGTCACATTATGATGAGTCTACTGACTTTTTACGGTTTGAAAGGGAAATTTAGCTATCGTTTACTGCAGAAATAAAAAATTCCACATTTAATTGGCATGCTTAAAAGGGTGGATGAATAAAGTCAAATCAGATTTTACTGTGATTTCAACTATCGCTAAAAAGGACAGAAAATACCGACCCTACGGTACATTAAGCTATAGTTAGTTTTGATTGGTCAGAACCTGGGTGGGAAACAAATACAAATACTCAACATGAATAAACACTAAAATAATTGAGAAACCCATAATTACTCGCAGTCTAGAGAAAGCAAGAAATCAGCAAGTTTGACTCCGACCGCCTTTCCCAGTGAACACTATGAATTGAAAACACAAGGTCAAATGACGGACTCATGGCAGCTCAGTCAGTCATCTACAACATAAGACCAGACAGGTGCTATCTCTTGATGCGAGTAACTACAGGTCACACAAAAACAAATAACTAGCTGAGACTTATCTGTAAACTACCAGGCATTCCGGATTGTATCAGCCCATACAATTGCATTTCTATGATGGAAATTTCGAAGATTAACTATCGAAAGAACTGTATTCCTTTCTAAATAGATACACATTTACATACTACCAATTACAGAACGATTATTGTTCCAACAAATACTAAATGAATGCAAACAAATTTGTAAGCACTTAAGTATTCATCAAAATAGTACAATAGGATTTACCAATTAGTAGACCCAAGTATAAAATAGAACGCAGATTCATTAAAAGTAAATCCAAGGAAAACTTGCAGGACTTTATACCACCATTTCCAACAAAGAAAACTACCTTTCATCTCGAGAACTGCAGTTTCAGGCACTTCTTTGCCCTCCTCTTTTTCCCGTTGGGCAATTCGCCGCCTGAATTCTTCGTCAGTAGGAACGATAACAATGGCCTTTCGCTTGAAACCTTCAAATGGACGCATTTTACGGCGCTGTGCTGACGGGTACACATTTGTCTGTGATTAGGTTCAGGAGATGGAACCGAGCGAATGAGAGAAAAAACGAAGTTATATCAGTGCCACCACCAGGAATAGATAATTGTGCGCATTTGTACGATGGACCAAATCCAGTTGCAAGGTACATACCAAAAATGCAAAGCAAGTAAGGTACCTTGCATGTAAATTCGGACAAAATTATACATGTTCATTAACATGTACTTCGCCAAATTAGTCTATTGCAGCAGAACCAATCTAAGAAAACCATCATTCGAGCAAACTGATCAAGAACATCGGTACATTTAGTTTGAACAGCTGTTCGACCAGTGCTCATATGGGGTGTCTTAGAACGGAGACCACTGAATACAGTTTAATAAATAAAACATATAGTTCATAAGCACAAATTGATAATTAACAATAAAAACAAACTTGTAATACATATTGGTAGGAAATTTAATAACTTAAAATACATTACAGAAAACTAGAAATGTCTACGATTAACCCCTACGACTCGTCCACTAATTTAATGTATTGAAATCCCTTGGGAATACTATAACTTTAGAAAATCTACTGATACAATTAAATTAGTGTCTATGAGAAATAACTGACCTGATCCAAAATGTAATTACGACGGCGCATACACGCCATACTGATAAGTGTGTTTAAACACTTCGTTGATTTGTCAATCAAAACATCCCATCTCCCGTGATAATTACGTTGTCGTGCGATGCCCATTACCTAAAATAACAAATTGTATGAGTTTTTTATACACAGGTGGATAAATCCACGTTTACTTGGTTAGGACTTACTTTCATCTTATCTAAAATAAGGTTGGTTCCTAGTATATTATATTGCTTTTCACGATGCTCTGTTCTCTGTTGCTCAGCGAAATACGTTTTTCCAGCTCCCGGTAGTCCTACCATCATAATCACTTCACACTCAGACTTTGATTGAGGTGGGCAGCGACCATGTACGCGACATGATAGGGGTAGACAATTTATTTGTTGCCAAGATAAAGGATCATCTGGAAAATTAAATAAATTTACAAAGAATCGTGAATACACATAAGAACAAAGTAAACACGTGCTACGGAACAGAATTTTATGCCTCATTGAAAGAATTTTACATCGGTGAAGGAAAAATGGTGGTTATCGACAGATGACACTTTGTGTCCGAGTGATGGCTGCTCACAAGACCGAATTATCGACGAATTTAGCTGATTGACTGAGGACCAACGATGAGACTACTAGCCTGTGTACGTTTCTTTTATCTTAAGATAACATGCCTGGATTATTAGCATTATGAGAAACCCACATAATTAACTGTCATCAACGACTGGCCAATTGCAATTCCATAGGTCGCTTATTTTCTGATGTATAGGTCGTAACTGTTAGGCCTAATCGTAGTTTGTCATGTTGGAAAACTCACTTAATACATTCTGAAGGGTGGATCAGTCGATTAGTAAATTGACGAAAAACCTAGTAAACTAAAAAGTCCGTCTATCACACGTAGTCACTAACTGAATGAAGAATCACTTCGAAGGAAAACCAGTAAACGCCTACAAGAGAAAGTAGCTAATAATTATCTTTTTGTGATTACCAACAACCTTCACATGGTGGCGAACTGATTAACTGATGCTCGAAGTATTCCTTGGAAACGAGAGAGCTAGATTTACAAGTCTTACCTGATTTGTCTACCCAGTAAACGTACAGTACAATATTTCTATTCGGATGTTGGTAGTTGGAGACATTCGACATTGGCTCGCTGGCAGATTGTACCACGAATTCATCCATTTAATCATCAATGCTTTGAGACATGAACCATTTACTTTTAGTTTTAGGTAATTTAGTTAATAGTGATCAGTGAATACAAATCGAACCACTTAGGATTGGGAAAGCCTACTGGAGGACCTTATATCTGCAATGTTTTGGACCAACTTACGTTTTAAAATTGATGAGAATCAGATCCGAAGTAATTTTATTTTTAAGATGGAAAACATGTGTATTTTAGTATCATCAATCGTAAACTGAATCGGTTAGCGGTTCATAAGACTTACGATGAGACTAAGAATCGTGCATAACCTTGAGGTGAAATTTAGGCAGTTAATAAAGATACTGTTATAAGGTTTGACATTTGTGCAGAGGATGTGGTAGAGATTATATGCACTCATGGCAGAGTACAACTCCCAGTGGTGTGTTTATGTCAATTTACTGAAGTTAAACGTCAACTTTTGGGATTAACTAGAAGAAAGCTCTTTAAGATATGCTACCTAATAAAGTTTGGGCTTAGAGAGCTAGCAGCATAAGTCATACTGTTTCGCTTTATTAGCTCAATTACTTTTCCGCACAAGCCGAAAAAGCCCAAAATTAGGACCAAATTGAGCTGTGATCATTATTTTTAAACTAATGATACTTAAGCACTTGTTTAGAGGGTGATGAAGTATGTCTTGTCACACAAGACAATTCATCCATTTCAATATATAGAATAAGCAAAACGCAGACCACTTGGTACGTCGGTACGATACAAAAGTAACGTACACTCAAGGGTGAGGACGACAGACTTGAGGTACGCAATGAAGACTTGGATTTACAGAAGCAGGGAAGATGGCAATGATGCAATTAAGGCCATTTAGGATTTCACATACAGCAGGAAAATTCCGCGCTTCAGCTACAGGTCTTATTACCGGTGTCATAAAACCTTGGGGGCACGAGCTGTTAGTGTAGGCAACGGTTAACTAATGTGCACAGATCAGATATGTTGACATGGAACTATCGGGTCTGGCTATCTGAGAATTGTTTGCTTCCCGCGGACACTTGAATTATATCAGTTCATGTTCCTGATAAATAATAAAACTAGTTGAGAACTGCATCCCAACCTAGCACACAAATCCAGAGAGTTGTGCAATCTACAACCGGATCATAAACGTGGTCAGTCAGTCATTAGTGTTCACACTGTTACAGCAATTCAGACTTAACCTTCATCAGTGCTTTTTAAATAGGACTACTACATATTCTACATCTATAAGCGAAAGTGGCGGTAGACTAACCTCTGAAAGTTCAGGGAACGAAGGACAGTAAGTGCAACCAAATTTTTAAAAGTCTGATGAACTACATTATACAGCGACTTCTACCCATAAAAAGGACCTGTCTTGGTGGTAAACGCGAGTCTTGGCACCTACTCAAGTTTGGATGACTAGGAAGTGCACTTAGGTCTCACGCAACAAGCAGCTTGAGTGAAAGTCCACGAATTCGTGGCATTTATCAGATACATGAACCGCTAAAACTAGCGACCGGACATAGTGTGTAGCAACACCCAACAGACAATCAATTAGACTTTACAACCAAACCCTTAATGTGAATCGCATACTTTTATGAGACCGGCTGTTTAGTTACTTGAAAACAAAATTAAACAACTGAAGCTTACCAGATGAGATATTAGGACTAAACCAAGGAGACTGGTTTTCTTGCCCGAAGTTGCAGGCAAACTCAACGTTCTTCACGTAGACGTGCGGGAACAAAGCACAACGTTCTCCTAACTGTGACTTTTGAACACGGAAGCACTCCCCTTGGTCCACACCATTAACACTAAACCTTAACAGAGCTTCAACATTTGTCCATTCCTGAAGCATGAGATAAATAAACAACTTACGATGAAAGCACCAACGACATCACCTTCTCCGAATGTACAACCATAGTCAGTAAACTTGTTGTTTGTAGACTTTTTCCCCGTACCCCCATAGCCAAAAGACTGAGGCTCTTCGCCAAGAGTGAAATCGGTGTCTTCCGTAGACCAGCCAACTCGTAGTACGTGAGTTGACCCGCCGACCAAACTGTCATAGTTTTCAACAGGGAGATTTTTCACTACCCGTACTTCGAAAAATGACTACGACATAAGCGAAACATTAACACTTACCTTCCCAGATATTGAGCCATAATTTGCTCTTGCTCCAGCCCACATTAGTGAGAAACCACCCTCTGTCAGAGGTTTTGCCTGAGAGCCGGTAGCATCGATTATGAGGTTTAAATCACAATTGTAAGTATCTAAGAAGACAGATACGCTTTCTTCCCAATTATCTGGTTCCGGAACCATTTTTGATTTGACCTGTGGAGACCTGGAACGTCTACGGGGTGACCTGCGAGAGTCCCTATCTCGAGACCTAGATCTACGGCGGGGAGAGTGTGATGGTGAGCGCCTACGCTTGAGGTTCTCTTGGTCTGGTTTTTGATGTTGATTACCTGGACTACTATCCTTTTCATTTACTAACTAACAAAATTACAAACGGACATGAATCACTTACCCCGTTCTCACACCCACGCTGTGGGGACGCGTTAGGACTTGAATCCAGTACATCACGTCCTGAGTTTTGACTCGGTTGCCTCGACAGATTCGTAGACGCCAAGTGGGGTTGTTCCTCAGAGTCTAATAATTGAGACATATGACTTCACTATCGTACCTGCCGGTTGTTTCTTGTCAAGATTAGGCGATGCCGATTTGAGAGCTTCATTTAGTCGATCCATTAAAATTTGCTTTGTCCCGAAAGTATTGAGACCACGCCTACCTAGCTCGGCTCTCAACTCTGGTACTTTCAGCTTAGACACATCGATGTCCTCACTCATCATTTAATGGCGAAACTATGGTGAGTGCGGACAAACAAGTTTCAAACAATGTTCCAATACTCTGAAACTTGACAAGTTCAGGAATGAATTTTAAAAAATGAAGTTCAATCTCATTTTTATCCTCCTTTAAACCCGATTGAGCCCTTTGTTCTACTTCTGAGTGACTGTTGTTTTTCACACACAGCCATAGACTTTGATGAGCATCATGAATAAAAATCAGTCCTGTATTTCTTAACGTAGAAATCTATGTTGACTTTTGCCCATTATCGATCATCCCACGCGCTTTTTCATTTTGTATTCTGCTCGATATATTTCGTGAAGGGAATTTTGTTTACGCAACTTCGAAAAGAATAATTGCTGAGGTAGATTAGGCTGTTATTTCCCGACTGGGCGGGAAAACATGGTGTGAAATTTCTGATGAGTGGTACTAGAAAACATGCGCTTAACTAACGCCTTCAAATGTTATTAAAATCGGCTTTTGAACTGGGTACAGAATCTACCAATTCCCTCTTGATTTATGAGGTTGAAGAACCTTCACTCATTGCACCAAATTTTCATAATGAAGGGATGAGCATTTCAGAAAACAGGCTCAATGTCTGGTTAATATGGTCCTGTAAAATTTGATATCAAGACATAATACAACACTCACTCCAGACCAGTTACTCAATAATGACAAACCACCTGATGCATCTGGAACTCTGACAATGAAAATCCAAATGTGTGAAAAAGCATGGGGGTATGAAATGTAAAAATAAAAGAGATTTATGGGACTTTTCCTACTTCCGGATGAAGTGCGGAATTTGTTTCTGAAGTTCCAAAATACCCCTCGAGTCAGTATCCCAGCTAGTATGAATGATAAAACATTGGCACAAACGAAACATTTGAAAGAAGAGAAAAGGTAGGGTAACGCCAACCCAATCCTAAAAAACCCATTCATCAGTCTTTAGTCTTCAGTAATAAGGATAGTGGGTTGGTGAACCTGTGTTAATCCTGACAGATTGCCTTCCAGTGAAGGTCAAGTTTCTCCTTGAAAATACTCCCTGATGGGGCTGCTACCACTTGTTCGAGTAAGGCGTTCCAATCATTGACTACTCGATGAGAAAAACGGGGCCCCCTTTGAGTTTATTAGATCCTTATTGCTATGACCTCGGAGATTATTAGTGCTAAAGGGAGCAAACAGATAAGACATATTAACACCCAAATCATAATTAAAGATACGAAATGCCAGTATAAGGTCGCCTCGTGTTCTACGATACGACAAGGGGGAAAGGTTTAGGCGTTTTAAACGCTCATCGTAAGGGAGTCTAGAAAGACCCTTCACTAATTTCGTTCCCACACTCTGGACACGCTCAAGGGAGTTAGTATCCTTTACCAGACATGGGCTAGCTGTTTGGATACAGTACTCTAAATGTGGTCTAACATATATGGGATATAAAATTCGAAACGTTTCCTCGTCAAAAGATTTGAACGCTCGGTGAAGTGACCATAACGCTCGAAAACCTTTGACAGCGGCTGCTTTGCAATGCGTAGTTGTTTTTAAATCATGACTTAATACTACTCCTAAGTCTTTATGCTCTTGAACGCATGGAAGAGGTTTGCCATCAATAGTATAATGGTAACTATTACCGTGACCTATGTGCATTAGCACACTTTTCCTAGCATTGATTTCTAAGCCCCACTCTCGAGCCCATCTAACTAAATCGTCTAAGTCAGCTTGAAGATCCAGATGATCAGCCGCACTTTTTATTGTTCTCCAGATTTTTACGTCATCTGCAAACAATAATGTCGACGACCTGTGCAACAGCGGTAACTCATTAACGTAGAGAAGGAAGAGCAGAGGGACTAAGATGGTGCCTTGGGGTACACCACTTTTGACCGGCTTCCAATCGGATAGCGTCCCATTGACCCTTACTCTCTGTCTGCGGTCACATAAGAAGTTACCTACCCACTGCTGTACAGTACCTACTATTCCGAAGCTCGTGAGCTACTGCATAAGACCTAAGTGTGAAACCTTGTCAAATGCTTCGCTAAAATCTATGAATATCACATCGACAGACAGGCCTTTATCTAAGACTGCTGTCCACTCCTCCCTCGCAATAAGTTATTCAAGCATGAACCCTTGTTACGAAATCCATGTTGCTCAGGAGCTGACAGATTGTGTGAATCTCTGTGGCTTAGCAACCCAACCCGAATTATCTTTTTAAGCAACTTAACGACAATGCTAGTTAGACCGACAGGCCGGTAGTTAGATACGATCAACATCGAGGTGTACAGAACAAGCTGTGAAACGCATATGGAGAAATTCGAATACTTCACTTCTATCTGAAGTTTGTGCTGATGATGTCGTTCAGAAGAACGATGAAAGCCCAACGACTAAACCATTCAGCTCAGATACGATCTGTCTCTGACCATCCTTAAATATAGGACTGACTATGCGTCTTTCCAATCTCTAGGGAGTTGAGTGAGTGAAAGGGGCATGTTGAAGAGTGTCGCGAGCGGTCGTGAAATAATGTATGCAAGAGATGACAGCAGCCGTGGATGTAACCCGTCAGGGCCCGGTATCTTACAAGGTTTGAGGTTAGTTACCAACGGAAGGACAGTTTCCTCAGTCACCTGTACAGATTCAATGGCTGGTATCTCGGTGTGAGTGGGACAAGTATTTGCTACAATAAACGTAGAGTAGACTTCGCTAAAATAGTTTGAAAAAGTCTCAGCTTTTGCCAGATCTGATTCAGCTAGTTATTCTGAATTTTCGTGTAACAGTAACGGGGGAATACCATCACTACGTTTCGTCCGCCGTTTAACATACGAAAACAATCGTTTTGGACAAGTACGGCTGTCATATACCAACTGTCATCCATAAATAGTACGGGATTTAGCTATGGCTTTCTTACAAATGTTCCGGAATTTTTGGTACTCACGATTAAATGTTGCATGACATGTCAACAAGAATGAGTCCAAGAAGAGTTTCCTACGTTTTAACAGCTACTGGGTTTCCTTATTGATCCATGGAGGGCAACGTGAAAGCTTACGTGCTGACCATGGGATAAATGGCGACATTACGGACTCGAATGTAGCATTAAACTTATTCCATTCGTCTTCGATCGATCCGTCCGCGTCGACCGACCAATCAGTCGAGGTAGCACAGTTTCTGATTGCCGGAATATTAGCTCGCCAGATATTCGGACGGGATGAAGCATGCACAAATCGTATGCCAAGTGTCTCAAACTTAAAGTCAAGTACAACGTGATCACTGTTCACTAGTGGGGTAATGTGCTGAATATCAAAGACATCCTCACAGTGGTGGGTAAGGGCGAGGTCCAGCAGTGACGGATCATGTTTCAAGTCAATATGCGTCGGTTTTGTGATACATTGTACAAGTGCACACTGAACAACGGTTGAAAAAAGGTTGCTATCGAAACCTCCACCTTGAGCTGTAAGCTCTATCCAGTTGATATGCTGTGCGTTTAAGTCCCCAATGATGAGACAACATTCTGCCATACTCCAAGAACAGATGTGTCTTAAGATAAAGTTGTCAGCAAGGCAACATGGACTACGGTATATTCTCCCTATAGTCACCAACCCATTTCTAGATTTAATCTTACAACTTGCTGCCTCACATGTACCACTAACAACCAGTCGTTTTCCACGAACCAGATGATTCAACTGTTGTTGACGTGAGGAACGGGTTTGACTGATAGTTGTGAAGCTACCTTCAGACTGTAAACATGAACCGATTCACCTCCATCTGTCCTACTCGGGATTTGTAGAGAAGTGAAAAACGACGCTTGATACACTGTAGCCAAGCTTGTTTATGATATGACCTTTCGATCTTCTGGAAAACATGTAAGCCGCTTGTCTTATTTACTAGATCTGGATCTAGTCTCCTACGTGACTCGGTTTACAAACCTCATTCACCCTACTAAGCCTGTTATAATCAGACCCTCGTTATTCATATCTTTATACAACCTGGATTACTTTGTGGCATATACTCGTTTTCATATCGTGAGCGGTCTTGACATATAAATAATAAACTTAAAACGAGCCTTTCTAGATATCCGGCATAACAGGAAGACTACGCTGAAAATCCCTATACCAAAATCAGTTATACGAACCTTAAGAAATAACGAGATGACACACAAATGTTCTAATCCCATTTATACAACCTCAGCACGCTTTTTTGTTTTTTCACAGTGAAAATGCAGACGTGAACACAAAATTTATTGGTTTCAGTATGCCACCGCTCTTCATTTGGGCACTTTTAAGGTATCTGCCTCACTATCATGCTACGTGATCAGGAACTCCTCTCTGCCTCCGTTTTGATGCTAGGTTCGTGCACGGCAGTGGTCTACTTCAGGCACACCTTGTTAGAATACCCTACCATAAAAATGACAATGTTACACAACCATAGTATCCAGATAGTAGGTCAGATGTCTTATCATATGCTGTTACGAAAGGAGACGACTGGATAAATTATGGGGTTCTGAACAAAACAATAGGTTATTCGAAACACATTGAGATTAGGGCTTGTGAAGTACTGGAATGTACAGGAGCATAAAAATGTTAGAACTATCCTACTTATATAACATGACAGGTAGATCAATAAGATTCCGGTGAACTAATAAGATGCGCAATGTGAAAATGGTTAGGTTGACAAAAAGTAAACTATAAGAAATTCAAAAAGCTCCCCAGTATATAATTTTCTCGTGGCCAACTACCGTATCGTTTTAATACTATTCACTAGATAGAGCTCAAGTCACGTGTATATTACGGCTGTGTAAGGTAGCTTTTCAGGCCAAAATTTTGCAGAAAACTTTTCGTGTATGCGTCAGTAGGCAGTACAGTGGTATCGATACGTTCTTGATCTGTCTATCCAATAATATACAGGAGAGAACTTATCTCGATCTGGGTTAATGCCTCGACACTATATGCTAACTGATTTAACCTCGAGGTTAGAAATTCGTGAGTTCAAATTGAGACTAACGGCCTTGGACATAGAGACACAAACTACTCTTTCACCTGGTTG